AGAGATTGGAGAACGGTGAGTTTTGGGCCCATTTGGAATGCATTAAACTCCAATTGGGGTTTTTGATCCGTTTTATGATGTTTTCCCATAGCGAAGGTTAATCCGGAATGGATTAACCTTGCTATGCGGGGCACCACTGTAGTATGTTTCTTCCCAGTTATATATGTTTAGGACCAGGTGGATAAAAATAAATGATTTCTTAAAAAACAAATTGATTTAAATCACCATTTAAATTTTAAAAAATATTTTTATTTAAATGTCAAATACAGTGGTGCCTCGCATAGCGATCGCTCCGTATAGCGATGAAATCGCTTTGCAATGGACTTTTTGCCATCGCAAGAGCGATCACTTTGCGATGGCCCCTATGGGGAAATTTCGCTTTGCGATGATTGCAGGGAAGCGATCATGGCAAAGCCCCCATTTTCGGCCAGCTGATCAGCTGTTCCAAAATGGCCACCCGCTGTTTTGCCTCGCTTTAGAGGCAATGAAAATGGTCACCGCAATGGAGGATTTTCGCATAAGGTTAGTTTTTAAGCCCATAGGAATGCATTAAATGCGTTTTAATGTGTTTCTATGGGCTTTTTAAAATCGCTTAGTGATGAAATTGCTTAGCAGCGATTTTTGCTGCACCGATTAACATCGCTAAGCAAGGTACTAATGTAGATCCTATGTAGGACTGCAGCCACTGTGCTCTAATCCAGATATACATAATAATTTAACAAAAGTGGACCCTTGCTGAAAAGGAAACATGTGAAATATAACATGCTAAAGTACTCTGTACAAAAACCACACGCCTAGGCAGGAATGGACATGCAGACAATGCTTTTAAATAATTCTTGAAAGTGTTTGACACTCACCCTAATCCGTTCTGGTTTACTTACAAGGAAAGACATGGAATCCAAACTTGGTAATACAACTCCACAGGCACGAAATGTTAAAGTTGCCCTGATAGTGAGAAAGAACACTGTAAAAGCTGGAAAGAAATGTAGTGTTTCTATCTCATTTATTACCTGCATTTCAACCACAGTCGGTAAATAGTCAAGTTAGGGGCAGAAGCTGCGCAGACATCAAGTTCAAATGCCTCCTCAAAAACAGAGCTCACAAACATGTCTTGTACTAGTTACAACCAGATGAGCTCTTCATGTCTCTTCATCCCCATAATGGAGGAAAACTATTGGAAACAGAGCTCCTGCTTTTGTCATTTGTCCCAAGTTTATCAAAATATATAATTCTGGTCAATATTAGGCCTCTACATGGGATGACTGACACAGAAAAAAACTGCTATACAACTTTACAATGGTGCAAATTCTGCTTACACCTCTTTTTTCCTTGATTTTAATTTGTCAGAGGATGATAGAATAAAGAAACTGAAAGGAACCTATGAGTCCAAGCTGATCAGTGCAGGAATCCAAGTTTGTATCTAACATATGGCTTGTATCTAGCTTAGTCTCACATGCAAAAAGGCTTCCTATCCCTAATAATGGGGATGAACTGTTGTAAGTGGGATGGAGATCTAACATCAAACCTTTCCTCAGCCATATCTATTAGTGACAAGGACTAAATGTAATGAGGGTGAAAGAGGAGAGTGCAAAAAACGGTCTGAAGCTCAACATAAAAAAAAAGATCATGGCCACTGGTCCCATCACCTCCTGGGAAATTGAAGGGGAAGATATGGAGGCAGTGACAGATTTTACTTTCTTGGGCTCCATGATCACTGCAGATGGAGACAGCAGCCACGAAATTAAAAGACCCCTGCTTCTTGGGAGGAAAGCGATGACAAACCTTGACAACATCTTAAAAAGCAGAGACATCACCTTGCCAACAAAAGTCTGCATAGTCAAAGCTATGGTTTTTCCTGTAGCAATGTATGGAAGTGAGAACTGGACCATAAAGAAAGCAGGCTGCCGAAGAATTGATGCTTTTGAATTGTGGTGCTGGAGGAGACTCTTGAGAGTCCCCTGGACTGTAAGGAGAACAAACCTATCAATTCTAAAGGAAATCAACCCCGAGTGCTCACTGGAAGGACAGATCCAATACTTTGGCCATCTCATGAGAAGAGACGACTCCCTGGAAAAGACCCTGATGTTGGGAAAGTGTGAAGGCAAGAGAAGAAAGGGACGACAGAGGATGAGATGGTTGGACAGTGTCATTGAAGCAACCAACATGAATCTGTCCAAACTCCGGGAGGCAGTGGAAGACAGGAGGGCCTGGCATGCTCTGGTCCATGGGGTCACGAAGAGTCGGACACAACTGAACAACTCAAGGACCCTTTCTGACAATGTTGTTGTGAAGATAAAATGAGATATACTCTGATAAAATAACTATAACGAAGTTTTAGCCACATCAAAGTTCTAATTGTCACTCCTCAAGGAGAACACAGTCTTACTTAGGTTTATTAAAAACGAATACTGTATATCAACACAATTAAAGTTTGAAAAGAAAAAATAAAGAACATTTTAAGAAAAGAGACGAAGTCAATACTGCAAACATCACAATTCAATCTCAGGTTTATGAAGTGACTGGGACAATGCTGTCTTTTATCTGTAACCTTTATTTTTCTCTGTAAGTGTATGTTTTATTGATATTTGGGACACAAAAAAATAGGACAGCTTAAGAATCTGTGACCAGTATCTTTCCATTGGAGTGCTAGGCACTCTTTCAGGAAGAAAGCACCCCACTAACACAAGCTAGACTTCAGATTTACCCAATCAAATTTCCTGGCAAGGATTTCTGAGTAAAAAGAGGAAGTTTTTACTTCACAGACCCCACAGTTCACTGTTACAAATGCAAACATTCCTTTTGATGAGCTATAAAGGCAGATTAAATAAACTGACCACACACTAATCAAACCTTAGCAATTAGCCATAGTAACCCAAAGCCTGTCGCTTTGTACAGTAAATTACACTAGAGTCGGCCCGTTGAATCAATGGAGGTTTGGTGAGTCAACTTCCCCATAGGTCCCCCAAACGGGCTAATTCTGTGTCTTTCACTAGGGCTATTTGAATCCACTGAATGTACGGAGAAGCTGCTGGCTCACCACACCCCCACCGGTTCCATGGGCCTACTCTGCCGCCGTTTACTACGGTAAGCCATCGGATTTTGGTAAAAGAGAAGCCAAAGGTTCCGTGCGGGGATGCAAGACATGGGCGACCATCCCCATTCCTGAAAGACCCGTTCCTGGGACACCGACGCCGACCCCCAATTATGGTCTCGAGGAGCCAACTCTGACCCTGCGGGCCAATCTTGCCTTTCTCACGGGAGCAGAAGCAACGGGCTTCTCCCCTCGCCCTCCGTTTTATATTTGTCCGCGACCTTCCCCAAAGGCGCTCTGGCAGCGAAGGCCACCCTCAGCGCCCCCTCAACGTAGCAGATACAGCCAGACGTCCCAAAGCCAACGGGCGCAACGTCGCCAGAGTCTCTCTCTCTCTCCTCCCCCCCAACCCCCCCCATGTCTTTCGTGGGGACCCGGCGCGACTCACCTCAGCCCGGCGGGCTCCTCAGGGCCGGCGGAGTCCCTCGGCAACCCCGAGGCACGCGGCTGCGGCTTGGGTTGCGCGCCCCCTGCGCTGCCTCGCGGGGAGCGGCCGCTTGAGGCCCTCGGGGGCAACGGCTCCTCCTCCTCCAGTATCTCTTCCTCGCCCCACACGGGCCGCCCCACACTCACCGACCCGACGAAAGCACCCCGAGCTTGGAAAGCGGAGAGGCGGCGGCGGAGAAGCGCCTCAGAAGGAAGCGCCTCAGAAGATGTTTTTGAACTACGAGAGTGGCCCAGGGAGCTACGAAAAAGGGAGACGAAACCCCAAGCATCGAAAGGGGAAAAAAAACAACTTCCGGGTTCCTCTGGACGTTATTTTTGTCCTTCCCAGGGCAGGAAGTGACGCCTTCTAGCAGGAGGCACGGCAACGGGGCCGGAAGAAAGTGAAATACGCTTGTCTTTCAGACAGCACAATGCGATGTATTTTTGGGTTTTGCATATATGCGAGTGGGGGAAAGGAGACACTAAGGTCTAGGTTAATGGTTCTTAACTTTGGGTTACTCAGATGTTTTTGAACTACAACTCCCAGAAACCCCAGCCAGCAGAGCTGATGGTGAAGGCTTCTGGGAGTTGCAGTCCAAAAACACCTGAGTAACCCAAGGTTAAGAACCACTGGTCTAGGTGAATATTTATAGCAAGGCAGCCAAATACTGTATTTATCCAGAACAATGGACAAAAGGTGGCAGCAATGCTGATACACTCAGCCTGTCCACACCAGCATATAGATTGTTGGAGGTTGAAATTACGACCTTCTGTGGAGTGAAATGAGGTTGAAGAGACTCAGCTGTCCTAAATATGAGGCACGAGTTTCCAAAACAGACAAATTCCCAAGGACCTAGGGAAAAAAAACCCTGACAACTGAAAATTTCACCCTTGGAAGGGGAGGACAGTTTTTCAGTTCAGGCCTAGTGCTAAACTGCTGGAAAAGGAAAACCTAGCAAGTGACAGGCTTTGAAATGGAATCAGGTGGCAAAGTGGCTGCAAGTATAAATAATATGATAAGAGGTGTTTTGTATTTGAGAAGGATGAAGAGTTTCTAAAATGAGTCAGGTGGCCAAGTGGTTGAACCAATAATTTCCCTACCCATAGGGTTAGAAAACCTAAAAATTTAGTCTGGTTGCCAAGTGGCTGGAAGAGTGAAATGTCTGAAGTATGGACATTTTGTTCTTGGAGTAGGAGGACATCTTTAAATGGAGCCAAGTTGCCAACTCATAAAAATAGAAAAAGTTGGCATGGGCAGAATTTTTATCTTGGACAGACTGATGCTTAATTCATGTTTTGAAGCTGCTAGGAAAGTAAAGTCCATCAAGTAGAGGAGTTTCACAGCTGCTGTGCAAGGCTAAGTTCTAAACTGAGTCAGGCAAAGTGGTTTGAATAGCAAAAGCTACCAGATGGAAGTGGACAGTTTCAGATTTGAAGCAGGTGCTCAAAACACGAAGAAAGGGTGTCTGATAATTGGAGAAGTGGGCATATTTTAAACGAAGTCACCCGATTCTGCTTACAGTGGGGTCTTGACTTGAGAACTTAATCCGTCTCGGAAGGCGGTTCTCAAGTCAAAAAGTTCTCAGGTCAAATCTGCATTTCCCATAGGAATGCATTGAGAACCATTTGATCCGTATCTGCTCTTTTCCGTCCATAGAAACTAATGGGAAGCTGCTATTCCGCCTTCGACCACTAGAGGGGGATATTGTGTTTCTTTTTTTCTTAGGTCAAGAAAGGTTCAGGGAAGGCAGGGAAAATACAGTCCAGGGCAGTATAGTCCCAGGCAGTCTGAAGACTGTCTCCCAATCCACTCTCTAAACGCTGGGAGGAGTGAGGAAGCAGACAGGCACCCTTTTCACTGGCCAACAGTTAACTGAAAGTTCAAATTTTGCACTTTCCCTGCCTCCCACGTGGTTTTTTTTTCAGTTCTTAACTCAAATCTAAGTATGTAAGTCAAGTCAATATTTTCCTATGAGAGTGGTTCTTAAGTCAAAATGTTCTTAACTCAAGCCGTTCTTAAGTCAAGACCCCACTGTAATTGACATTGGTATCACTGGCAACTACCTTTCTTGAGTGATGTCCCTTGGAAGGTTACTTTATGAAATCCACCAAGAAAGGGATTTTGTTCATTTTTGTTGTGAGTCTGATTAGTCTGAGCTCTCTGAGTAGGAGAGGGTGGTTTTGAGGTTTTTCTTTGCTTTGGGGAGTGAGGATTAGTTAAAGAGGAATATCATCCAGATATGGAAAGAAACTGATACATGGAAGGCCGAAGTGTTACAATTGCAGCCATAATTTTGCAAATACCAATAGGGAAGAGAATCTCAGGGATTGCCTGGTCTATGGTCAGTCCTTTATGGATGTACAGACCAATAATGTCCCCCTTCTTTCTGGGAAAAAACTTTGTCTAGACAAAAAGACTTGTAAGTTCATTCGGCTCGTCCCTTGTCTTCCTTTTCTCCAGACAGATGCTAAGGATTCTTTTTTATGCTTCATTTCCACCAATATATTGCTGAGGATATCTTAGCCAAAAAGAAGTAAGCCCTTGAAAGGGACAAGAACAAGATTTGCCCTAGAATATCACATAAAGCCTTGGAAAACAGTGCTTATTTTTAGTTTTAATTAGGATATCTCTCTTTCACTAGGATATGTATACTATTTGATTTATATTCTATTTCCATTAGTAACTACATTCTAAGAACAAATGAATATTTCAAGATAAAGTAACAAAGAAGTTTTATTCCTGTTATCAGATAAAATATCTTACAAATGAACTGTTATCAGTTACTGCTTCCATCAATAAGTCCACCAGTTAAGGAAAACAGGTAGAAACAGCACAAGACATTTCTTATTAAATAAAAATCCCTGAAAGTTCAAAGGCGCAGGCAATTAATGCTTTTAAAAGTCAACAAGTAGTATGTACATTCAGTATCTACAAAACTCAGCAAAAACAAAAGCTGCAGCATGTTTATTATGCAATAAATGTCTTTTAAAACTGAGGATGCATGAACTATTTCAGAGGTTGTTTGAGGTCAAACAGGCCTGTTCCTCCCTTGACAACTTTTCCTACCACCAGGCAAGCAGAAGGTGACTGCAGTTCATCGTGAGAACCTAAAACAAAAAGCAATTGATTATTCAGATTTATAACCTGAAGTCTGAGTTGGGAAAGATAATCCTTTTCTTCCACTTCCACTTTTATATTGCCCAGTTAGTGCAAGACACCACTGTGGGTGGTTAACAAATACAGTGGTGCCTCGCACAGTGACGATAATCCGTGCAGCAAAAATCGCTGCAAAGCGAGTTTGTCGCTATGCGATATTAAAAAGTCCATAGGAATGCATTGAAACCCCTTCAATGCGTTCCTATGGGCTTCAGACTCATCTTTAAGTGAAAATCCTCCATACGGCGGCCATCTTCGGTGCCCGGTAAGCGAGGAATCCATCCCAGAAAACAGCGGGTAGCCATTTTTTTTAACCCGGCGGCCATTTTTTTAACCAAGCGGCCATTTTTTTAACCCGGCGGCCATTTTGGAACCGCCAATCAGCTGTTAAAAAATCATCGCTTTGCGATGATCGGTAAGCGAAACAGGGTACCGATCATCGCAAAGCGATTTTCCCCCATTTAAAACATTGCAAAGCAATTGCAAAAAGTTAATCGCTATGCGATTTCATCGTTAAATGGGGCGCCAGTTAAGCGAGGCACCACTGTAAAGCAAAACCAGCTCTTGACTAATCTACCTTTCCTTAAGTTAATTAAAAGAAAGCATGTGAGAATAAAAAGTATAATTTAAAAAAAAAGATGCATTGTCTTCCTTTTTTCTAGACCGCAAAGATAAAACATGATAAGAGTGTGCAGTGGAACACAAGTGTTCAAATCTCACATTTCAGAGAAGTTAACTGGGCTTATTTGTCTTTTGCAAAAATGTTAATTTGTAAAAGGAATTTCTTTTGAAAATGTTTCACTTAGTCGGTACTTCTCAGCCCTTGTTTCCAGTTTCCCTGAATTTGGAAACTACAACTTTCATCTCATATTGCAAACATCCCATGGATGCTTTTGATTTAGAGAAGTGGTGGACAAACTATAGCCCTCCAGATGTTGCTGGACTTCAACTCCCAGTTCTGGGAGTCAAAATCCAGAATGTGCTCAGCCGTTTAACAACAAAGCCCCTAGATACAGAGATATGTGACACTACTGCTTGAGTCTAAGGATGCAAGTCAGTGTTATCATGGCTGTCATGGTACCTGAGTACATTCATGTTTTTAGTACTGCAACTTTGTTGTTCTCATCGAAGAGGTAAACCTCTTTCCTCCCACTTGCTATACAGTCCCAGTATATTAAAGTGGAAAATTCAGGTTTCCTCCAAGTCTCATAAAGACTGACAAATTAAAGGTTTTGCTTGCTAAGTGAAATTTATGTTCCATTATTAAATTTAGTATTGCAACAGAAGATATCAAACGCAATAATTAGAAAGTGACAATTGAGATTTATTTACCCATCATGGTTGCCTCCTTTAGAAACTTGTAGCTTGTCTCAAATGTCATTTGCTGCAAAGGGGATGAACTGGACTGTATCCCATGCCTATTGAGTGGTTTGTAAACACCTTCAAAGCACATATAGTCAGACACCAGGGAGAGATGCCGAGGGTCTACCACAATTCCTGTGAACAGAGAAAGAAGGAAAATGTGCATGCAGATGGAAAAGAGACTCCTGTGTAGCCTCTCCTCCATTATCTTCCTTTATGTTATTTTGATAAATGCTAAGACTGAAAGGTTCCCATTTCCCACTCTAGTTTTACTTGGGCCATGTGGCAGGTGCAAGATTGAATTCATGTAGTGCAGTGGTACCCAACCTTGGTATCTCAGGTGTTCTTAGACTGCAAATCTCACAAACCCTGGTCAGCGCAGCTGTTGGTGAAGGCTTTTAGGAACTGCAGTCCAACAACACCCTGGTTACCCAAGGTTGGGAACAACTGATCTAGTGGGAAAGTAGCTGGTCCATGTTTTGATTCTTTTTAATACTGTATAGATTTTATTCTGATGTTGGGAAATCCTGACTGGTCAAGGTATTAGAGGAGAGCACTTAGCCTTGTCCCCACATCTGTCACGGCTCTTCATATGCATTCATTGACAAATTTAAGAGTTTCCTGCTTACATGGAGACCCTTCATATTCATTAGTGAATAAATGTAGAGATGATCTGTTCTCTAGTGAGCTAAACTCAAAGGTGAGGTCTAGCCCAGCTAAGACCAAAATCCTGCTGCTAAATGTAGTAAATCATACCAGAGTAGGCCCATTAATCCATGGACATTTAGTGAGTCAGTTCCTCTGTAAGTTCAGTTAATTCAAATTAGCCTACTTTAACTGCAAGGGCATGTTAAAGTAAGTCACAATTATCATAGGCCCACTTGAATCAATGAAATTTACAGAGGAGTTGACTCCCGGTGATTCAATGGCCTACTCTAATGCAGTAGTAATGCTTACTACGCTAAGCAGTAGGATTTTGGCCACTGGCAGGAAAGTCCAAAATCAGAGTCAAGGAATGCAGGGGTCAGGTAACCAGAGGCTCACCAAAGAAGCAGGCAAAACAAGGGGGATCCAAGGCCATAGTTCACTAACAATCCAACAAGTGAAGCTAAGCCAATATCTACCACAACCCAGCAAGGAGTGTCCAAGGGACACAGTCAGTCAGTCCAAAGGTCATGCAGAATGCAGGAGACAGTGATTAGGATCCAGGTACAGATACAAGAACCAGTAAAGATGTCTCTAGTAACTCATCTCAAATGGAAGGTTTACATAGCTGAGCTGCTAGAGCTCCACCCAAAACTCAGCAGGCATTTGGTCAGCTGGGGAAGAAAATCAGTTGCAGGGCTTAGCCCACTGTTCTTCTCAGGAGAATGTGCTTTCCCCAAAGAAACCACCTGCTCCTCAAGATGCTCCTCCTGAGGAATTCCTCCCTACAGCTGAGTGTCTAGGAACTTTGATCCAGATTCACGCCATCCACCTGCATCATTTCACTCCCCAATGTCTGGGATTTCTAGCTCATCTTCATTGGAAGACTCTTCTGGCAGCACGAAACCAAACTCTTGAGGAAGGGGCAACCTCCAGTAGGCCAACCAGACCCATCTCAGGACCTTCCAAGGGTTTTTTTGGGGGGGAGGGGATTTGGGCCCTTAAGCGCAAGTAAGCCTATATTGTGTGTTCTCCCATGTTGAATAAGTAGGTGTACATGTTTCCTATATTTTTAGGCACACACGAGTACTCTGCAAGTGAAAAAATGAATCACAAAGCAGCATTAAGACATGACTTCCTACCTGAACAAATACTGCTAAGATACATGCAGAAAAGGCCTCCTCATCTTATTCTATCCTGCAGATTCTAAGTTGGATTTTGCCACCATTTTACTGGTTATGTGTTAATTTGAAAAAGAGCTAGCCCTGGAGATAGCCATCCTGTTGTCTCCTCAGCAGCATGGCTCTCTCTAGATTCAGTGGGTTTGGGACTTTAACCTCTACCTGCACATCATCTTCCAAGAGGTGAGATCTACTTATCCACTTTCTTCCACTTGCCCCACATGAGTCCATGAAATGTGTTGATTAATTTATTTCAGATCTTTGTATCAGACTGGCAGCAAATATCTTTAAACCTATAAATTAATCTTTGGCACCCTGTAGGCTTTCCAGCATATGGCTTTTAACTAGTGCATGTTAAATTATTTTACTGATTTTTAAACTGAATTTAATATCATTTGTTTAAATGTGCTTTAATTTTATTACTGTCAATATTCTATTTGTATATTCTTTGTATGTTCATGTGCCATTTTGAGTGTCAGCTATGGGAGAAAATCAGAGTATAAATCATATGTAAAACAAGTAAATATGTAAAGCAACCTTATTTTTCATATTAAAGCTTCTTGTCACAGAAGAATGAAAAAGTCCTTATTAATAAACTGTGGACGTTTTTTGTCCTGCCTACAATCCATTGTAGGTACTGTAATAGCTATTGCTAAAGATATATCTACAGTGCCAAGAGAATTCAACCTTATCTGTTTACTTTGTAAGAACATTCTGTTTATAACAGAACATGAAACTTGATAAAAGTCAAATGCAGAAAAGTTGGTTTGCAAGTTTGCTTTTGCAAGGCCCTGTTTTACATTCTCATAGTTAGCCCCCACTAATTTGGTCATGAATAATCTTACCATATGCAGCAAACACATCTTTAATCTCTTTCTCGAGAACTTTCAAGGCAGCCTCAATTCCATAGGTATTGGCCACTGCATGTATGTCATTGCAATAAAGCCTGTTCACATCAAAAATCTAAAAGAAAAAAGGTGTAAGTAGTACACGTTGAGTAAACACTCTCCCCATCTGTGATGAATAACACTTTGCGAATTGCTACAGAATGACAAGCAGAACATTAGCAAAGAAAAGTGCACATGGTTTGTCTGCAAACAACAAAAAAATGAAACAGATAAATAGGCAAGAGGAATTTCTCAGTAACTTACCCCTAGACTTCTTAAAAACCATATATGCACAGTTATCAGCAACCCTGTTTCAATTACCCAGGGCAGAAGAAATGCAAGTGATGTGATGACTATACAACTAAACGGCATCACACTCAGAAATCATCATTTTCAGTTCTTACAAGCCTTTACAAGCTGCTTGTTCCAACTTACTTAAAACTATTTCAGCTGTGTACAACAAAAACACCCCAAAAATTCATTTTAGCAAAGAGTAAAAGAAAAGAATTCATTTGTACAGAATTCTGTTAGAATTTAACAGAAATCCAATGCGGCAGAAATAGGGGTTCACTGTAGCCAACAATGTGAGCCACTATACTTCACTGAATATCTATCTGTCCCTGCTGCCGGGACAAAAGGGGCTACAAAGATCAGACACTGGGATCAAAGCCATGGTTTCTTATGTCCTTTTAGACTGAGGACAAAGGACAGGTTCCTCCATTATCCCATACTAAGGTCACATAGGCCAGTGGCCCCCAACCTTGGGCCTCCGAAGGACAGGTTCCTCCATTATCCCGTTTTTCAAACCTGCTCACAGTACTAAGGTCACATAGGCTTATAGATACAAGGTATACTGAAAAGAAGACACTGGGCATTTTCATGGGCATTTATATGGAATTTACCACTGGCTTCTTTTCAGACTAAGAACAATCACTTTTCCATAGAAACTATACAAGTAGCAGGAAAATGTTGCAAGGGGAGTTTTAAAAATACCATCAGTATATTTCTCCATTGCTCCCCCCCACTACAAGAGAGAGAGAGAGAGAGAGAGAGGCACCATCAGTATATTTCCCCCCACTACAAAAGAGAGAGAGAGAGAATGCCTTCTCCTTACATACATCAGCATAGAGGAAAAGCTCAGGGAGGTTTATTCCTTCAGTCTGTAAAATGAGCACCATCTCTCCATTTTTACTGCTGGTTTCATTTAAGAGACACCGTGTGATCCCCTTTGTCTCCTGGAGGACAACGTTGTTTGCCAGAGAGGTCACAAGGGAGGCAAGGTCAAAGTACTCCTTTGTCAGAGGCAGCTTCAGTGAAACCTAAATGCAAAAACATCATCAGGCTATATTGCTTAAAGAGAACTGTATTGTTTAAAGTGAATTTGATTTTCCTTGCACCCCTGAGGAAAATCAAATTCACACACACATTGACTTAATAGCAAGCTTTCTGTCAATCTAGTAAAGAAAGTCAACCTTTTCTTAAGATCAAAATGCCCAGTACTACACAAATTCCACTAATTTTTGGCAGCATGAAAAAGTAAGCACTCTCCGCTTTGCACAGCCATCGTAAGCTGCCATAGGGATACTACTCTAGAAGGGAAGTTAAAATACAAGCTAATTTCCTGTATGTGCCCTGGGAACCTAATGTCTCCCATTGTCTGGGCAATATTTCTGGTGCACGTGGCTCATCTGCTGCATGCATGTCTGGAGTACCTGTAGTACCGGAAGAGCAAATTAAAACACGAGCACTCGAAAGGGAAGCAGTTCAGCTTCTACAGATGGTGGGGTGCTTTCGATGGGTAGCACAACACAATTCCTTGCTTCGTGGCCACCTCACATCAGGTAACTGTCTCATTCCTCCTAATCATAGTGCCTACCTTCTGTACTTGTGTGTGTGTGTAGAGTTTCAGGGAAAAAAGGCACAGGTAAGAGCTTGCCCAAGCTATTTTGAGGCCCAACAAAGGATTCAGATGAACACTTTCTCTTTAGCTAAATAGCATGAGACACAAACCATCAGAAAATTCTCTTGAATGAGCCTTTTATTGTTCAGGTTACTGTGGTTCACTTCAGCAGGGCCTCTACAATAGAACTGCCAGGTGGGTTGTGTTCTACATATAAGAGCAGTATGACTCTCACTATCTCACTGACCTTAAAAGTATCAGAAAAATTACTGCTGGAGGTGGTCACCTAATCTTTGTCACTTCACAAGAAGGTCATTACTGAGCTCAGCAGACACTAAATACCAACGTTCAAAGTAGCATTCAGCAGACTTCATGGATTACTTTTTTGCAGCCTGATTTAGAAACCCCATTACAGTGGTGTCCTGCATGACGACGATAATCTGTTCCAGGAAAATTGCTGTTAAGCGAAATCGTTGTCATGCGAAAAACAATTCCTCATTGGAATGCATTGAAACCCATTTAATGCGTTCCAATGGAGAAATTACCTCATCATCCAGCGAAGATCGCCCACAGGGGAAACCATTTTCAGAGCGCCGACCAGCTGTTAAAATGGTTGCCCTGCGAAGCATGGGTCTGGAAAACACAGGGCAGCCATTTTGCGGAGCCAGAAAAATCATTGTCTTGTGACTAAACGGTTCGCGAAGCACGGACCTAATCGACGTCCAGCGGAATTTCCCCATAGGAATGACTGTTTTGTGAATTGCTATAGCGATCGCAAAAAGTCACCGTCCTGCGGATTCGTCGTACAGCGGGCTTGTCATTTAGCGAGGTACCACTGTAGTTGTAACTAGAGATGGGGGTATTCATATTAGTATATGAATACCCCTGCACAGATGGACATAATGAGGGTCCCGCCCCATGGGGCCAGATGGTCCACTCACTGATCCGCCGCAGGCGCCACAGAGCCTTCCAATGGCTCCAGAGATTGCGTTCGGCGAGCCACTCTTCAATCTAGCAGAGAAGCTTGTCATCCTGCCTCCTGCCAGGAGTGGTGAGCTGAACGCAATCTCCAGAACCATTAGAAGGCTCTGCGGCACCTCAGTGAGTGGACCATCCAGCCCCATGGGGCTGGACCGTTGTTACTGCCACCTGTGTGGGGGCATTTGTACACAAATACGAATACCCCCATCTCTACTTGTAACCACCATCGTAACTCCAACAGCATAAATAATAGCGACCAATTACTGCAAATTAAGATGCTGACATAGGCATACACTACTGCACACCAGTTGTGTACCTTGGCATGTAACAACAAATGCCTACATTGATTTCTCAACTTGCAGCAATTCACAGCTGTTGAATTGACACTGATGGATCACTAATATGATCACATTTTTTCAACTGAATTCCAGCCACTGACTTTAACATTTCTTTGTTTTAATTTGATCACAGCAGGGTCCCTGGATGGCTTGGAAATACACTAAAAACAACAATCAGTAACAAATTATATTTTCTGCTCTTGAACACATATTCCTCCACTTTCCCATTTCCATATCCTTACCTCACACCACAACTCATTATCAGTATCATAGGCATAGCTTTTTATGGCATCGTGACTCTCCAAAACAGCACAAATTCTTTGTTTTGTCAGTTCACTTGACTCCTTTCTCTTGCTTTGAGCTCTTTGACTACTGGAAGGAGCGTAAGGCTCATCTTGACTTTCAGTTGCCTCAGAATTCTTTTCTTGCATTGTAACTTCTTCTTGATCTGGAATATCATCATCATCTGCCTCGTTATCATCATCACTCTCATAATCTACCTGTGGAAGACAGACAAATCAGGTGTAAAGTGTAACTGATTCAACACTGCATGTGGATCTGTCCTTAGAGATCAATGCATCATTTTACTATTTGTTTCTAACTGGGCAACTTTGTTTAACCCTCATCCCTTTATCTTTAGAACATACACATACAATAAAATACGGTCCTTGTCCATCATCAGATCAAACCACAGAGGTGCTATATTTAAACAGAAGAAACACGAAAGAGAAAGGAATGAACAGCCATGGGCCAGGACATATCATGTTGGGCATCTGAATATATTTCAAGAAAGGCAACCAAATTAGAAATCAGCAAGTTACTTTAGCTTCTGTTAACCTGGTTTTTCCAACATGAAAAGCATTTCTACTGATTTATCTAGGTGTGAACCTCCCTATTCCAACGAATGGCTCTCACTAGTTTGACTATCATTAAATTATGTAACACTAAAAATTGGCATATTTATACTCCTATTGCTGACATATTACGTGTCTTAGTACCTGGGCCAATATTTTATTGATGTTCAGCTGAGCGGACAGTCTCATTAACTTAGTAATGTGGGACCATGCTACTTGAGAAAATGTTGCCACTGTATAGGTAGTGGTCTCCATGAAGAAAATACAACCAGGTGATATGATTCTGCAGTATTACATTTGTGGAACTTTCAGGTCAGTGGAAAATCAATGGGATACTTGTGGTGCAGTGGTTACTCTGCAGTACTGCAGCCAAAACTGTTCACAATTGCATTCGATCGCAACAGATTCAGATAATTGGCTCAAGGTTGACATCAGTCTTCCATCCTTCCAAGGTTGGCAAATTGAGTACCCAGCTTGCTGGGGGTGGGTGACAAAATGGAGCTTGTATAATTGAATTGTAAACTGCCCAGATAGTGCTTTAAGTGTGATAGGGCAGTATATAAGCAGCACACTTTGCTTTGCTTATACAGAGACTCAGAGACTCCAGTGACTACTTTCTTAATTACCAGTTCCTGGTCATGCCATATCACAGTTTCTGCCAGTGGTAAGATACCAAGAGACCAAAAAGTAACACAAGTACTTCCTTAACTATGTGTGAAGGAGAAGTAGATAATGTGGAAGGTGACAAGAATGCACCGTCTCCTCCAGTAAAGGAATCAGGGATAGAAGAGCTGAGAGGGAGAACAGATGGGGACAGGGTACAGTCAACCCTCGACTTACAAAGGAACAGATGGGGACAGGGGACAGTCAACCCTCGAATTTGAACTTTAACCATTGGCCAGTGAAGAGGGTGCCTATCTGCTTCCTTGCTCTTCTCAGCATTTAGAGAGTGGATTGGGAGACAGTTTTCAGACTGCCTGTTACTGCCTGGTACAGTGCTGTACGGACCGTATTTTAATTTTTTGGCTTTTAAAAATTTTTTTATTTTGCTGCCCCCTTTTTCCCCAAAAGGTGCTTGTATTGGCTTGTCTTGATTGAAAAGGTGCTTTTCAAGGTGTTCTGTTGAAAAGATGTCTATTCCCTCCTTCCCTCCCTCTTTTCTTTCCTTTTTTTAACAGAAAGTTATCTTAGGTTAAAAGGAGAAAGAAAAAAATTCTACCCCAAGTGGCAGGAACTGATTAACTGGCTTTGCATTAGTTCCCATGGAAACTAATGATTCGAGTTACAAACCATCCCTCGACCTAAGAAACAAAAACAGCCGGAATGGATTAATTGATTTTCAATGCATTCCTATGGGAAATGCTGGTTCGACTTACGAATTTTTCGACTTACAAACTTCCTTCCGAATCAGATTAAGTTTGCAAATCGAGGGTTGACTGTAATTATCAAAGGGAATGAGAAAGAAAGAATGAAGACAGAAGTGTGCTTAATAGAAGAAGGAAAGGAAGGGGAGGAGCTAACGTTGCCTGTATGGAGGATAAAAGGGAGGAGGAAGGGGTGAGAACCGAGAGTATACCGTGGAGAATTGTGAAAGAAGGTGGAGAAACTGATTATCAGAAAGCACGTGATTTATTACAAGATTTTCCCAACTGGCTCCAGAGAAAGGTGTGACAGTGACTGAGACGTTGGAATGGACGGCAGTAGTATTCCCGAGGGGACAGGATCATCGGAAGAGGGTGATCCGTCCCAATGCCACTTTCAATTGACCATCCCTCGAGAGGGATTGGGCATGCCACCCATGTTGTGGCACAATCTGTGCTGTGAGGAGCACGCCGTTACGGAAACCAACGGACAAGGAGCGTTTTGGCCCGGCTCCGCAATGAAATAAGCGTTACGGAAACCAGCGGACAAGGAACGTTTTGGCCCGGCTCCGCAATGAAATAAGACAGTTCATTCATAAATGTGTTGCCTAGCTCTTATGGGCAACTACCTGAGTTAAGCTGTTTTGAACGTATAGAAGTTGTGGTTGACTCTCCAAATGTTAAGTTTAATAAATCTGTTGAAGTTCAAAATGAAGCCTCGTGGTTATTTTCCGCCCAAAAGCAAGAGCTGCCTCTGCCTTACCCTGAACCCAATCACACTATGTATTTACAAAAACCCTTTAGTATCTATAGCCACTTAAGTTATCCACTGCAAATCCTCAGCTGCCAAATTTAAACCCGTTTCAGTTCTGACTCTGTCCTGTGTAAAAGATATCAGGCAAAGGGACAGCTAACTGTGAATATGAAGCCTGTACTCTAGATAGGATATGCACAAATATTTTCAAAGAAAGCTAAATTTCCTGGAACCTGTACTTGTCAAAAAGATTGTAATTTCAAGCGCCAGAAATCACACATAAATTTCTGATTATTATTTTTTTAACATGGATGGGTGAAAAGGAGCCTGCAACAGGATCTTACTGAAGGACCACCTCTGAAGAACTATTGGGAACTAACGATGCCATTACCTCTTCTTCCTGCTTTGCTTTTCTTTTTGCATCTGTAGCATCAGCATCTCCTTCACTTGTTTCACCATTAGGGCCATTCCCTTCTTCCTCTGCTTCAGCTTCATAATCATCCTAATCCAAAAGATAAAGGATTGGGTCCAGGAGCCACCCACTACTCACATGAGCATTTGCTTAGTTATTAAAGATACCCTACTGAACCGAAAATAACCCACAAACACAGAACGGACAACTAAGTTTTCTTGTGCAAGTTTTCCTTAAAAGAAAACAGTGCATACTAATGTACAAAACAGTGCCAGGGAATGTTTCAGCCCAAGTGCTGCATCCTCTTATGGCATGGCAGTGAAGGGCTGGTCTCTTGCAAAGAATGGACACTGCTCATTTTAGATGGGGCTACTCGATATACTCTGTTAAGAAACACAAACACACATTTACACATATGTATGCTCTGAAAAAGCCTCTCAGTAGCATCAAGAGGTGGCCTTTTCCTCATTACTGTAAATGTGTGCCTATGTATGGGTACATGTGCACATTCACAAGGGTGCACGAAATGCCTCATTTCACCACTTTTGTTTAGCTGATACATAATTTTACTAGCTTAATGACATTAATGACAAAAATATACAGAAAGCAAGGACAACACTTCCCCCTCCCCCAAAAATAAGGCGAATACATACTGTTTCATAGAATCTTTCATGAAGCCAATCAGATGGGAGAATCTGATGTTTCCAATTTAAGCTATGATTCCTCTGCCCAATAATCAAGCCAATAGTCCTAGTTACTGCAAAATGTATCACGGCATTTTTTAAAAAACGTGTTTTATTTAAACTGAAATTTTGGCCTTGTACAAAGTATATGTCTGTATGCTTGTATAATGGCACAGGTTATTTTCAGAGAGAGCTCACCAAATATAAATTAAAGATAGAGAGAATTAAGTTATGTCCAGTATTTAGATGAATGATCCCTGAATACAAATCAGCTGATTATTGCAAGACACACAGAATTAAAGGAGCAGTATCTCCTTTTGAAATATTCAAAGTACATTAAAAAACTTGTCTTTACATCCAGCCTAGTAAATCCAGATTTGTAATACAGCTTCAACTAAGTGTACTAAACATTTACCTGATTTCCTTGGGATGTACCACCTTCACCATCACCTTCAAAGTCTCTACGAGCTGCTTGCCGAGTGCTCACAGTGTTGTAAGAAGCCAGTTTTGAACTCTTTCTTTTAATTGTTTCCAGCAGGATTCTAAAGAATCTAGGTGGGACGGAAAGTGAAACCAAATGCTAATCTCCATTTCTAGATTATACAACAATATAATTTCTGCTAGGCATGTTTTCATCCTGGATCCAGTCAACTCAAATGACAAATTTAAAAAATATTCTAAGCTGCTTTTATAACAAAATTTATCTAATTTGCTCAAAATAGATTAGTATTTAATAATGCAGAGATCCCACTTGCTATTAAAAAGTAGATGAAATAATACTCTTGAAAGAACAACCAAGAAGGGAGACCTGAATGTCAAAGAGAGCACAACATCATCAGCAAAATCTGGAAACACCCAGTTCAGTGTTAAAGAAATGTTCAGTGTAATGCCAGCAATTCTTGATATCAATCCTGCAGAAAAATTAGTACTGTGGATTGGGGTTAAGTAACATTACATAGTATACATCCTCTACTAAATATCATGGGCATAATGAAGGCATAATCTTTTAAGCATCAATTCCAGTATTTGGACTAGACAACTTTCAAAACATCACTATTAACCAGCATATTCAGTCCACAGACTTACATCTTAGAGACACCAACATTTCATTCACCTGGATCTGGGCCTACTTTGAATGGCCTCCTGAGGCCTGTGTTACCTGTTGTTAATGTACTAAAATAAGAAAGCTACCACAGGTGAACATGAGAAGAGCCCTGTTGGATCAGGCCAAGGACCCATCTAGTCCAGCTTCCTATATCTCACAGTGCTTCCACCAGATGCCTCTGGGAGCACATGAGACAACTAGATATCTGTCTCCTAATACCCCTCCCCTGCATCTGGCATTTTGAGGTACAGTACCTTCCTTTTAAGGCTGGAGATTATACATCCCCATCATGGCTTGTAACCTGCCATGGACCTTTCCTCCAGGAACCTGCCCGATCCCCTTTCCAAGGCATCTAAGTCAGATACCATCACCATATCCTATGGCAAGGAGTTCCACAGACAACATGCTGGGTAAAGAAATATTTTCTTTTGTCTGTTCTCACTCTCCCAACACTCAAGTGGAGTGAATTTCCCCTTGTTCTGGTATTGCATGAGAGGGAAAAGAGCTTCCCTCTATCCATTTTATCCATCCCCTGCACAATTTTATCTCAATCATACAGTGCTTGCTGGGAGTGGTAGTTCTTTGGGAGGTACCCTTTATAGAGCCTGAAGAACAGTAAAAATAACACTCCCCGGAAACAGCACAGTAGCTTCCTTTTTGTGTGTATTAAACACAGACTATGCAGGTTCACAAGTAGGCCCTGGTCCAGATGAGTGAAATGTTACATGTGAGTCTGTGGCCTAGAACTCCAACAACAACCACAACACACAACAAACCAGATGACACATCCCTAAACATAGCATGTGATTCTCCCCACAGGACTAATAAAAAAATCTTGAATACAGTGTGGCCAGTGACAGAGGGAACATGAAAACTGCCTAAGAGTATGTAGGTAATGTTTAGTGAAAACACAAAATGAAGAAAAGCAATTTACTTCTCATTAACTGCTAAATTCCAAGTCATTTAAAAACAATTTTAAGTTTTAAAACAATTAGCAAATTGAAACTATAGGTTCATAGTTTTTAAAATGTAATTTTTTGGATTTTGTGATAAAAGTTCCAACTGAAACACACAAGGACACAACCCCCACTGAAGTTATTTGCCATCTCTGCATCTTACCAATCAAGTCCAGAGAAACAGGCAGGCAGGCAGGATACACTGACCTTGACTCCATAAAATGCAAGATGTCCCTTGGCTTCACATATTTTTCCTCCTGGTAGCATTCATGTGGCAGAAAGCTAAATTTTATGGTGTAGACACGGTGCTTGCTCTGCATCCCCTCCACACACAGGGACTCTGTCATGTCAACCTTCTCTAACACCTGAAAAAGTAAGAAAAGTATCTACATTCCAATATAACGTATGGATGCCCTTTGTACCATTTAAGGATTCCCCCCCCCTTCTCCTATTATCTAGGAAAACTTCTCCAGGTTATATAGGAATAACAGAGAGAGGGTATAATTTGTTTTAAAGAACTCTCCTGGTATGTGCCATTTCAGAAAATTTCAATATGCCAGAAAAAAGGACACTTCTATTTCACATTCTCCAAAGTCAAATTTTCAGGTTTGGGGCAAAAGCCAGCCCTCAACTCAAGCCTTTATACCACACCAAGGATAACATTTCAGGTGTCAGTTCTCTGCTCACAGCACTCTGAAATAGGATCACTCCTTTTTGGGCTGGGATAAATGGCCACATTTTGCTACAGGTCTTTGCTTACAGAGGCTCCTCCATTTTTAGAAATCCATATTCTAAGGGGTGAATTTATATTTGCCAACACATGTTGTAGATCTTCAGGGGATGGGGCTGCAGACGGTCAGAATCTGGCCTGTGGAGGCCCTAGGTGCAACCCCGCTCCCTGAAGGGAGACAACAGCAGGGATCTATTGCATGTCACTTATCATCCCAGTTAAGGAGAGTATGATGCAAAGCCAGCTGTGCACTCAATTAGCGTTTGTGGACCCAGCCCCTCAAATGTGGCTCCCTTTGATTTTAATTATGTTCCAAACTTATAAATGCTAGCTGAGAATGCTTCGCTGTTTCTTCCAGTTTGCTGCAGAGGGGTAAAAAGAGTGAAACCAAATGCACTTTGCTGGCATATGTGGGCATTTTTACAATCCACTGCTATGATTAATATGTCATCAGGATGAGTTTAGTTCATACAAAGGATTCCTATCAAACAGGACTCACCTCCCCTAAGCAAACTCTTGTAAGTTGCTTCTTGAGCTTCTTTACCCTCTTGTGAGCTTTTTTGGTGTTCAGTACAGGAACACTCATCATCGGGGTTTTAATATTAGCACTGGCTACCATCAGGATCTCCCTCAACCTGTTGTAAGGAATTATTTCACATTTAGCTGCGAGGAAGCTGAAAACTTAAAGGCATGCAAAAACAACATTCTTACTCAACTTTCTTACTTGATCTTTTCTCTGCATAATCAGAACAGACATTCAAATGAGGGTTATTTTAATTCTGGCGCTAACTAAAAAGCTAAAAAGACTCTTCTCAATAGGAAGGAACTTCCCATCAAAGCCTCAGAACAGTGAATAAAGCAATATTTTTTATAAGTTTTACATGAGTGACTAGTGATCCATGTTTTCCTTTTGCAAACCTGGCTGCTTTATCACAAACCCTTGTAGTGGGCTTCCTAGAGGCAACGGTCTAGCTATTGTGTGAATGATGTTGGATTACAGAGAATCTTTGGTCTGACCCAGCTAGGATATTTTCATTTTCTTGTGACTTCCTCCTCTAAGCCAGAGAAAAAGAGGCGTTACCTTCTTTCTTTTTTAAAACAACAGAAGAGAATAAAAGTTTAGAAGGAAAAAGAAAATGCAGAAGAAAGCAACTAGCCAGCTGGAAAGCAGGACAACAATTCAAAGACAAAAGAGATCTCTTCTGAGCTATAGGCAGAGAAGGATTGAGAAGTCAAGTTTGGGAGCTCTGACAATGCAATGAAGAGCCTAGCCCATAATGGGCAGCACAAAACATTTGACTATGTATGGATTGCTCCGTCACCAGAGAGGGACTTATCAATAAGTGTGGGATGAAAAACATGAATATACATGTATGGAATGCTAACCAGTTAGCAGGTTATACTGTTAGTAGTGACACAAGCTTCCAGTAGAATAGTCATGGCCATAAGCATGAATGTTTACAAATATTTCTACTGGTCTTTTTGTTTACTATGAAATTTCAAGGCCTATTCCCATGTGCTGACTACAGGCTTACTAGGAATGATCATGATCAGTGGTTCTTAACCTTTGTTACTCGGATGTTTTTGAACTGCAACTCCCAGAAACCCCAGCCAGCACAGTTGGTGGTGAAGGCTTCTGGGAGTTGCAGTCCAAAAACACCTGAGTAACCCAAGGTTAAGAACCAGTGATCATGATGATCAGTCAAAGCATGGAATTGGCATGGGGCAGCCATGGAAAAGGAGAAGTCCCAGAGAATTACATCTTGCCATACAGGCTCTTTGCTTAGCCATTAGAGCTTCTTGGCCTTTTGGCTAAGATGAAGTATACTATCTTATCCAGTATAGTCCAGCTTTGAGAAAGAAACTGTTAGAATATGGTCATTCTGAAGCAGTGTTAACAAACAGGATACCAAAACATCTCTTACCTCGGGATACCAAGTGTGACATTCATTTCACCTCTTCCAGCAAAGTGAAAAGTGTTCAAGGTCATCTGCGTAGAAGGTTCCCCAATACTCTGAGCAGCAAGGAGACCCACAGCTTCTCCTGGGTCACAAAGTGATTGCTGCCACTTTAAATGTAACAGGTCCTTCAATCTAAACACATCAAGCAAGTATTTGAATCATTAGAACTTATTAATTTAAATTATCAGTTTAAATCACAGTTGGTTAGAAATTATTAGTTTATGCATAAATATATTCTGTGCAGCTTAAAATAACAAGACAAACACAAACAATAAAAATCGCGCTGGTGGAAAACAAAAATAAAAACTTCAGGAGGCGACAGTTCTGCAAAACTCACTGATAACAATCTCCTCCAAGGAAGTTGTTTTATAATTTAGACACCTAATTTTGCTGCTCAAAGCAGCTAACATCCTCCCTACACCACGATCAGGATAATTAAAAAAAATTGTGCTGCACTATTCAAACACTGACGTCTATCTACGTGTATCCTACCTCCTGTTTTGTATTCCTGGCACAGCTAGTAGGAAGTTAAATACAAGGGAATTGTGTGGAAATTGCTCCTAAATAGTACGGGATAATTGTGCTACCTATCCCTTGCCATCCCTATCTTTCTCTCCAATTCAAATAAAAATAGTCCGTGTGAATAAAGTGTATTTTAGAAAAAGGATTAATACATAAGGATTGATTCTTACCAAAGCTTCCTCAAACTATTACAAAAATACAGTGGTGCCTCGCTTTATGATTGGCCCGCATTACGAGGAAACCGCATTGTGACGATCTTTTTGCGATTGCAATTGCGATTGCAAAACGATGGTCTGAATGGGTTTTTTTCGCTTTGCAATGATCGGTTCCCTACTTCGGGAACCGATTCTTCGCAAAACGACGATTTTCCTCCAGCTGATCGGCGGTTTCAAAATGGCCACCGGGTAAATAAAATGGCTCCCCGCTGTTTTCTGGGACGGATTCCTCGCAAGACAGCCACCAAAAATAGCCGCCCTATGGAGGATCTTTGCTGGATGGTGAGTTTCCAGCCCATTGGAACGCACTGAATCAATACGTTTCAATGGGCTTTTTATTTTCGCATTACGATGTTTTCGTTCTACAGTGATTTCACTGGAACGAATTAACGTCGTAATGCGAGGTACCACTGTAATTCTTGGAAAATAAAAGCTAGCCATCTAGGCCGAGAGGGTGAAAAGAAAAGAACAACCCAGATCACTGAATACAGGTGGCAAACAGGCAGTAAAAACAATTTAGCTTACTTGTTACCAGTGGGTGAAAACTGCTAATCCTAAAGATCTGGGCTATTTGGAGATTATAAGTGAGTTTCAGACTGTAAAGCACTATTTTAGAAAGCAAAAAGATAACCCTATGCTGATAATTTGTTCAAGTCAACACAGATTTCTGTTGCATTTCTGTGATCTGTTTTGGTCTTGGTAATAAACAGAGACCCAAGTGGTCATTTCATTAACGTTAAAACACGAAATCATGGCATTCTGTACCCCAAGCATATGACTACACGTGAAATTACCACCTCTGAGAAGAAAGTTCAGATTTGCCGAAGCTAGCATCATTCTGAGTGTCCCACTCTCCAAGGAAATTCTCTACTTCATTTTCAAATGTTTCTGAAACAGATGCAAAATAGATGTCTGGACGCCAAACAGCCAGACTTGGATCAGGGCATTTTGTTGCCTTCTTCTGATATTTCCTCCGACTCTTCTCATCCAGTTCATACCACATGTTCAACAACTGAAAATGAAAACATAATACAAAAGTGCAGAATAAGAAATTTATTTATTTTGCTAGAACTATGTTGGATTTTTACTCTTGAATTTATATAAGTTTTTTGCAAATTATTTTGCTTATAATTACAAAATAACACAATTCATATTAAAATTTGTATTCATATGTCATTTGTATCCATTGCTTTTGGAACAACCTGTAGAGTTGCAGGATCTCTGCCATTTTTAAGTTCTCCTATAGGGATCTGTGCTTTCAGTCCAGCCAACTTTTTCTGGGAAAACAACAAAAAGCCCCCTTCTCTTCTCAGAGACTCTTGGTGCTTGACTTGCCATCTCTTGATAGATCTGAACTGTGTATTTGCTTGCTGGGGATCCATTTTTGGCAGAACTTCAGCTAAATGCTTAGATTTCTCTAACACCTATAAGAAACAGACCAAATTGTCCAGTGAAGTTTATAGGAATTATCCAACCTTCAAGTAATAAATAACCATTCTGGCTAAATATGCTGCCCATCAACACATGTTCTGGGTCATTCCCTGCAAGATAAATCTTATCAAAGATTGGTTTTGAAAATATTTACATACACCCACTTTGCTGAGGGCTCTCAAGAACTTAATGGTGACTGATGCCAATGAGTTGTCTGTGTCCTGAGCTAGTGTCTACCCTTGAAAGGGGAGTATGTTACCTGACGATCTAATGGCAGACCGATGCATTTTTCCTCCCTGTGAAGGGCCATTCTGGGCTGGCCAGAAGGAGATATTCCCCTCTGCCACCCAGGTGAGTTAGGATTCCATGTTTAGTTTTTGAAAGGAGGAAGAGCCAAATCTAGTATAAATCAGTGTTATTCCGTGGAAAGCTAACCTTGGCTTGGTGGCAGAGAGGAATAACCCAAACTTCTGGATGGTATCTTTCCACAGACCAATAAAGGCTGATTCATTCTGTGTAAAACTAGAGAATTTAGCACAATGAAGGCTTCCACATGACTGAAAACATAAGGTAAAAGGTAAAGGTTCCCCTTGACTAATTTTTTTTGTCCAATCGTGTTTGTCTCTAGGAGGCGGTGCTCATCCCCGTTTCCAAGCCATAGAGCCAGTGTTTGTCCGAAGACAATCTTCCGTGGTCACATGGCCAGTGCGACTTAAGACACGGAATGCTGTTACCTTCCCACCGAAGTGGTCCCTATTTATCTACTTGCATTTGCATGCTTTCGAACCGCATGGGCATGGAAAGAGGAGCATGCCATAGTGGGGCTAGTGGTTGTGGTGGAATGTTTAAGTGATCAGAGTTCCGTTGCTACATATTGCAACAGGACATCAGCCTTAGTGCTGTAAAGGAAAACTTAGAACTGACTCTAGGGAGAAAGTGAGGGGTGTCTTTTGATCCAGTTCTGATCTACTTTCTTCGCCCTTAATATCACGCCTCCTAATGGACTGAAGGGTGATCACCTATAATATCATGGGCACAATTTATCAGAAAGAGGAAGTCATTTCTACAGCTTCCCTGTGAGAAAACCAGTTATTTGCAAGTCAGAATAGTCATAAGCGAAAAGTGGGAAATCTTTCATTACCAACAATCTCCCCCTGCAGGTGATGTCATCACGCTTCCACAGATGCAGCTATCTTAACAGGATTTCAGCTAAACAAAGAATCTGACTTCCCTGATATATTTATGTAACAGGCTCAAGACACTAGTTTAGAGGAGACTATATCCTTCTATAATATAAAAAAATCCTATTGAAATAAATGTACAGAGAATCTTACCTTGTAGTTATCTGCAATGAAAGGAAACTGGTTAGGTTGCAAGAATGGTGTCTTGGGGATATCTAATCCATCTTCTCCATACAGAAACTGAACCACACTGCCATCGCTGTCTCGTACAGTCATGTCATAATGAACTATCAGCCCTTCCAAGTGCTTTATGATGCACCTGTGAAAAAGTGAACCCGTGAGAGGAAAATTTCTGGATTTTTGACCAAGGCTGTTCTGTCCAAAGAAATGTTAAGATACTGTGCAAGCCAATGCTCAAAAGTGTGTTCAAGAAACTTCAAAAGTGCAATGTTCACATCAAGGAGTTAAGTGGCCAAGACACCTATCCATCAACAGCCAATCGTATACTGTACTCTCTCTCCTCCTGTCTTCCAATGCAGGTCACCTTTTGGAGTGATCAAGACCGTTTCAGTGTCTAAAGCAGGCCCGAAGCCAGAATGGTCAAGATAATCAATGTTAGCCAAAAACATCAGGACTTGAGCTGCCATCAGCCTCTCCAAAATCTTGCCCCCAAATGAGATACTGCTGACTGGTTGATAATTTATCACTATCATTTGGCTGCAAAGAAGGCTATCTCTTGCTTAAGTAGACATGAATGATCAGGGCCTGAAAAATGCACTCTTCTACTTGCCTGTGACGAGTGAAAAATGCTGCTAGTAGACATGAACGATCAGGGCCTGAAATATGCACTAGTCTACTTTTGTGTGATGAGTGAACAGCTCCCTCCCTGCCTCCTTTCCCTCTGCCCCCCCTCTAATCCTGCAGTCCTCCCTTCCCCCCTCCCATTGCAAAAGGAAAACTGCCCCCTCTTCACATGAGAAGAGAGTTCGAGCGGCACATAGAGATATAGCTCTGCAGGAGAATGTAGAGTAGTTCCCTGCTGGAGAATATGGAGAGCTCCTGCTCCCAATTTCAACCGAATGAGGACATATCCTGGGGTGGGAGGGAACCGTGGCTCCTTAAGAGGCCGGGTGCTTTTGCTCTCAGGTTTATTTTTGCTAGAGACATTCCAAAGAAAGTCATTCAAAATACAAGCTTCATGATCCCATAGGCATGCAGGTAATAAAGCAAACCAAGTCTGAGGGTATAAATCAGTGATTCCCAATCCCAATAAATTGCAAGGCTATAGTCCGGTCATGCTGACTGGTGAAAGTTTTGACTGACTGGTGAGACATTCTAAAAATTTTCAAGCCCTGTGAATGATGCACTTTTTGTCAAAAAGTGCTCAGCAGTAAGACTCTTTGGTATGAAAAACAGGAAGACTATAATAAAGGAAATCTTACCTTTGAAGATATCCCGATCGGCTGGTTTTGACAGCTGTGTCCACAAGACCCTCCCTGCCAGCCATACAATGAAAGAAGAACTCCTGAAACACAGGTACAGCCTTGTTAAGAAAAATGCATCTACTCCACCAAAATATGTACCAGCAGATGAAAGAACAGCTTACAATGGTCTGAAAAAATACATATTCAAATAGAAATAAACTAAATTACATGGGCTTTGAATATCACATCTACTCTGAAGACATGGGAGCTAACATAAAAGAAAAGGAGAAGAGTACTTACTGCAGGTTTGATGCCAGTGAGAAATCTGCTTGCCACAAACCCTCCTGATTTAGGAGAAAAGTCGTAAGGCTGGAAACAAGGCAATGATTTGCCAGATGGCATCAGTGGAGGCCTTCGCCCTTCCAACTCAATCTGGCCCAACAAGCAGGAAATCTTTAAGAAGCCGAGAGAGACAATAAGATATAATTCCTACTGCAAACACACTCAGCAAAGCTAAGACTAATCTCATCTTTCTCTGAATTCAATAAAAGCAACTTCATTCTCTCAATAAAACAGCCATTTTAAAATGCGGAATTAATGTGATTGTTAGTCCTGTTACAGTTGTGTTCAAAATTATTCAGCCCTTAATGTGATTGTTAGTCCTGTTATATCCCATAAGCTCTGTTTTCTGCACTCCTATAATACACTAAAGTATGTTTTTTTCCTTTTCTGTGATTTCTCTCTGTCATATTCTCACTTAACTATTCTTAAGACAAAGTAAAAACATGTAGGTGGGGCAGTGGTGGGTATGACTCACTATTATCATTGATACATTCGAGTAAGAACATTCAATGACGGCTAGCAATGTATTTTACTAACAACAACCATTGCTATCAACTAGTGATGCACAGCCCATTTCAGAAGTCAGGCCACGACGATGTGGATTTCTGAAATAGGTTTAATACATTTCAGCAAACTAGTCACCACAGTTAAGCATATATAATCAGATCTTCACTAGCAGCAGTCATCCCATGAGCTTGACTTGTCTTACAAGTGGGGTAGGCGACATGAGGAGATTGTCCAAGGGGAATTAATAAAGCCCATCTCTTGTCTAAGCATGGCTAAATCTGGATCCAATCTATTGTTAACATAAAAAGAAAATGTACCTGCATAGTATTCACAGTGGAGCCTTTGGCTCCGGATTGCACCATCAACTGCAAGTTGTTCTCTGGGAAACTCCGGTGAAGCCCAAGAGGCATGCACACCTACAGGTTTCAGAGGATGAAACGGAGACATTATTTAAATCATGGCTAGTCCACTAAGAGCTGCAAAGAAAATGAGAAATTATACAACAGGTTCTCAGATTTGGTGTTACTGACATTCAATTTCTTTAATCAAAAAGCAGCAAGTATCTGCATGGAAAGCAAGAACAAAAAATCTGGACTATGATCCAGCAAGGCTTGGGTTCAAACTCCTGTTTAACTATGAACCTCACCAGGTGGCTATGGACACAACCTCACACGTTGTGTTGATAGTAAAAATGGGATAGTCTTTTTTGTTGTTATCTCCTCAAACATCTTAATGAAATTTGAAATGAGGAAGTGTACATGTAAACTAACATAGTACGATTGAACATTTCTTAAAGCAAACCTTATTAATTTCATTGCTGTAATGATTGACTTCCTCTTTGAATTTCAGATCAACCATGTTAAAATTTCTTTGGTCTTTGTGAAGATGGGCATCTTGCCATCTGTTTCTGAGCTCCTCACATGACGCTGTTTCGGGTAAGTTAAATGCAGCTCTTATGGCCTGAGGGGGAAAAAAAGGTATTTTCAGGTGTCAAGACATATAATAATACAGGATTCTTGGTGAAGACAACCCCTAACTCACTTCTCTGAAACACAGGCTTACCTTTGTGCCACCACGGGTACTTTCTTTAATGATCTTACGCCTCTTATGGTCCGCATGGTATTTGACCAAAATATCCTCCACTCCTGGAACAAGAAAACAACACAATGTTCCTCCTCTTCTGGCTGAGGTCAGAGTCAACTGCTTTTGACTTGTTCAGGATTTTCCTACGGTCAAATGCTTTTCTGATCAGCTCAGGCAGATTTCATACTCTGCCTGGCTAAGCCATCACTTTATTATGAATGCAGCAGAATGCATGTAAGGAGCTATGTCTTCCAAAGGCAGAGCAGAAGATATTATGTAACCCTCTAAAATGCAGACAACAGTAACTTAGCTAATATTCTGTGCCCAAAATTATTAGCAGAACACATTTCACTCAAGTGACACTGGCACTGCGACAACGCACAAATGGATAATAGTCCAAACTGCACAGCACGCCAAACCTGAAGGGAGAATGATCAGTGGCAATGCTGGCTGGAGAATTTGAGAGCCGTAGCCCAAAAAAAGTAATCTTGCCATGCGCTGTGACTTACTCACCCATTGTAAAACCCCTGTAGAACTGTAAATAGGCAGTGAAGAGACGAGCCAAAGCTGTCAGCACTTTTCCACTGGTCTCGCCGCCATAAAGCTCATAGCAGCAGTGGACTAAACCATAGGCAGAGCTTCCGTAGTGGGCTTTATCCAAAACTCCACAGAGCAGCTCTCCATTTCTAATGAGGACCTGACAGATGTAAAGGAAGTAAAGTTAGATCTTACTTCCACTCAGACTGAAACTCCCCATTTATATACACTTCCACATCGGTTTCTCTTTAGGAAAACAGCAAATCCTAGTGAGAAAGAGTGACATCGGTTCCCACATTACTGACAATGTAAGTGTGTAGAATGTAGGCCTTCAGGCAATTCTCATCCATCTTTACTATTTCTGGGCTTAGAGGTAAATGATGGCACGGCTTCAAGGACCTCACTCTGGACACGACCCAGGGTGTACCTGGCAAAGGGTCCAGGTAAATGCTCACTAGGGATGCATGACATACTGTTATAGGAGGTAAAACTAGAGCATGAAAAAATTAGTTTTTGTTAAAAAAAAAACCACACACAAACTATTAGAATCAGTAGCCACACTATGGCTCTGATCTGGGGCATCCTCGAAAATGGCATGTGGGGAAGCTACCTGATGCTTCCTTTACCAGATGCTGCCGATCCAAGGCTGTTGAATCAACTCAAGGAACTTTTGGGCTGAAACTTTATTTCTGGCTTCCTCGCTTAACGTTATCAAAGGTCAGAATCTTGCCTGTTTGTTCCTTTCTCAGGCAATGTTCTCGGCGGCACTATTTCATGTTTCAGTTTATGAGCTAGGCCATGGATGATCTACCATTCACTACTATGTTTTTCTTCTTAGGGACGTCCCATCTAGTCCAGGTGCTTGCCTCAACCTTCCTTCTATCGGCGAACCCACCTCTCTCATACATACATAAATATTTTTACTCCAGTCTTTAGACCAATTAAACAAGCCCACCTCCCTCTCAATAGGTTAAATAGAATGAATCTCATTGTATGAACCACTGTCTAAAAGAGACAGGCACCTAGTAATGTAGGAAGCTGCCTCATACTGAGTTAGACCACTGGTCCATCTATCTAAATACTGTCAACTTTTAACTGATAGTGACCTTCCAGGGTTTCAGGTAGGACTCTCTCCTGGCTGTACCCTGATATCCCTGATGGCCTTCCAGGAAAGTACTAACCAGACACAACCCTGCTTTGCTTCTGAAATCAGGCAAGATCAGATGTGCTCAGGGTGGTATGGAGGAGGCGAATCAAAATAATCATTCTCCCTCCTTCTGTATCCTGGTATAAAACAAGGGCATCTCTCCATGTGGTTGTTGGTTGGATCACCTCCTAAAATGTAGTGTGACTACAAAGGGCAACTCTTGTTCTTCCCTTGAGCCTACTGTTGAAATTGCCTTTTACCTCCAAGTACTTCTGAAGGTAAATAATATGTTAGACAAGATCAATGTTTGGAAAGATTACTTTTTGGACTGCTATTCTCAGAATCCTCCTAAAAACACATGGCCAATGGGAGATCCTAGAAGACGTAGACCAAAAAAAGAAAACTTTCCAGGCACTGGAAGAGAGGTTCCCCCAAAGTCAGTTTGTGAGTACCACACATTGTTTTCAGGCTATCCAAAATGACTGAGCATCCAGTCATACCTGAGATTCACACATGAAGTCAAGATCTGATCCATGAATACTATGGGCAGGCAATTGTATCCAGGCTTTCCCACCAATTTTAGCTTTCCCAGACAAATTCAGTGGAATGTGGTCTTCTGGAATAATATTTATTAGCAATGTAGAAACAATCTATGATAAATACAAGAGAGAAGTAAACACTTAAAAATTATTTTGAATATAAAATAGGATGAAAGTAGTTGACAGGATTTAAATGGCCATCTATGCTCCCATAAAAAGGCCCTACCAGTTATTTTTACACTGGGGGAAAAAACCCTTTATTCTTGATGGAGGTTATTGGGAATTTTAAAAAATGGCTGGGTGCAGAGTGCTGGGGCCTGTTAACCCCTACAAAAGAAATCCAAATGCTGTAACTCCAGAGAAGAATTCACCAGAAACTTTGTCAACTACTTCACTGAGACGGCAAACCTAGACTAAACTACACGGTTTAACTCTGAACAGACATTTATATAAAATCCAATAATTGTTAACGTACCTGCTTTCCTGTCCACAAGTGCTGTGGTTTTAAAATGGCTGGAGGGAGAAGTTTCACTTTCCCCCTTTTGTCCGTCAACCCTTGATATACTAGTTCCACATACTGTTCCTGAGTAAAGAAGCAGCCCCGTGTGGTCATGCTGGCACCAGAGACCATGTGATCTTGGATTAAACCTGCCAATGGCGTCCCATCCTAGGAAAGACACCGCAGGGACAGAAAAAGAAGCATCAAGAGATCCAATTAGTTGGTCTGGTGAGAAAAGATGTAGCTGCTCTGAACATTTTGGTTAAGAGATAATTAATATTTTGGGTGTATGTGTGAGAGACCTATGGGAACCAATGCTTCGACTTACAAACCATGCCTTGACATAAGAACAAAATACAGCCAGAACGGATTAATTGGGTTTCAGTGCATTCCTATGGGAAATGCTGATTTGACTTACAAACATTTTGACTTACGAACATCTTCTGGGACAGACTAAGTTCGTAAGTAAAGGCAGACAGAACTGTCTCAGGCAGAGGACAATGCTACTTAAAGGATATAAAAATCAGTGACCCATGCGTCAACCAGGGGCGCACTGGCAGAAAGAAAGAACACTGCTTTCCAAATCTATTAATCTACTCTGCTCTTCTTAACCTCCCACCAACCCAACTCCAAATTGTTATTATTACTCCTTCTCTTTCCTGCTGCACGCAACTATCCCAGCTGCTGCATGCAACTATCAAAGACCAACAGTATAGAACCAGACACAGATGAAGTCCCTACAGAACAGCCTTGCTTTCAATAGGACAACACTATCAAGGTGATACCAGCAGGGGAGGGGGGTATTTCCCCTTTCTACTTTGATAATAATTCAGTTGTGTGCTGTTAAGTCAATTCTGACTTATGGCAACTCTTCCTAGGGTTTCCTGGGTAAAGAGTACTCAGAAGTGGTTTACCACTCCTTGTGTGGTAGGATGGGGGGCTGGGATTCTGCAGCTTGCCCAAGACTACACAGGCTAGCCCTTCTCCCAGTCGGGGAACCACAGTCCCAAACTCCAGATACTTAAATCACAGAGCTATCCAGCCAACTTTTCAATCTTAAAGACCCACTGAATAACTGCAAGGCTAGAAGGAAGAATACTTCAGACATTGTTATTGTGTTAGAACAGGTATGTTCTATGTAGTAGCATTCACTATATTTTTAATTAGGCAGATGCATGTTAAGTTGCACATTTAACCCCAAACCAAAGCAAACAAAGTCCAAATGAAAAGCGTGTTTCTTTCCTGTCTACAGCACAATCCAAATCGAAGATCAAATGGCCATAAATGAAGAAGCAAAAGCAGTCACTAAAAAATTAAGCAAGCATAAACATGCATTTCCGTATAGCTAAGCAATTCACCTTTGGAACCAGATACTGCTCATCAGTACAGGCCAATGCATAGGCTTCGGCGCGGCCCAGCTCACTCTGAGGGAAGTGAGCATTCATTTCATCTCCATCAAAATCTGCATTGTAGGCTTTGCAGTTGGCATAGTGAAGCCTCAGAACTTTCTCTCCAGGCAGGATCCTTGCTCGATGAGCTTGGATAGAGGGCCTATGAAGGGTAGGTTGCCGATTTAGCAGAAGGACATCTCCATTTTTAATATGGCGGCATACCTAGGAGAGAGATTCAAGCTCAGTCAAATTAAAAAGCATCCTTGCAGGAGAATTAACAATACAGTAATTGTAGTTAGAAATGGGGGGGCGAGGAGGAGGGAATTATTGATATTTTGAAAGGTAACAAAGAGGAAGAAAAGGGAGAGCACAGTGAATATACTTGAAATGATAAAGGAAGACTCAAAGTACTGGTTCTGACCGTGCAATCTTTATTATTGGCACAGTTAAGAGGCAAGGCCTTCTCTCTTAAAGACTAACTAGATGGAGTACGAGCTGACATACACATTATTGACAGTGAATGCTGTTGACTAAAATTTATGGGACTCTTATGCAATCTGCTGCATTGCTTTTGGTGACATCAGTCATTTGAAAATGTACAGTAGTATAAAATGACAGACTGTAACACTAGCTCAAACAGACAACAGAACTGTGACTCTTGCTTTTCTGCAAACTGCATGCAGAAAAACTCCATGTGCCTCCCATGGTAAATAACCAGACAGAAACTAGGTTTGGACAATACCTACAATTTTTATTCCTGGTTTTGGTGCCCCAGTAGAAGGAGTGAGGAGTTGCTTGGCTACGGCTTCTCTCTGGGTCTCACTGGTTGCGCTCAGTATTGTACGAGACCCATCTTCATTGATGATCATGGAGGCACCAGGGTGCTGATTGGGACCATTTATAACAGCCTGCCTCAATTCTTGGACATTCCAGGGAGTTACGGGTTGAGGATAGGTCAGTTTCGTAGCAAACACCTGCAAGGAATCAAAAAGCAGAACATCAGGATACTATGCACACTTTTTTACTGGAGGAGTGATGAAATTTACTTTTCTGTTACTATAGGTTCTTATATATTTCACCTTACTATGCAGGAAGCACTATTTTTGCTAGGCTTTAAAAGTAAAAAATGAATAGAATTATCCTGAGTAATCTGCTTTTGACTTTAAAAATCTTAATTTAAACCAGAGCCAACACCTTTCCATATACAGTCTTTCTATTTTTGTGCTCCTGACAACTGAACTCTGTCAAAGCATTAGCCAAAAATGCTGAGAGCACTTTCAAACAAGGCAACCCAGAATATACACTCATTCTGAAGCTGAAAAGTACACCAGGAATAAAAATTAGCTTCCAAAACAAGACACACACTTTCTGAAAAGCAGAAGTGATTGTTGTAGAACTGCAACAATGGTAGTGAGGTGAAGTGGTGGAAGGGGGTGATGATACAACCTTTTCAACCCAGAAAGTTGCCCATCCCTAATTTATACCCAGCTAAAGTGACATTTTATAGGCTTCTATAACCACTTCCTGAATCTGCTGCTTCTCTAACTTACACAAAATCTTTAAAACAATCAAACTCAGTGTAGGAATTTGAGTAACCCCATGTTATACTTAACAATTAAGTTTGATGGAAAAGTGAACTCAAAACTTTCAAGGCTGTATCAAGAAAGCTTTTATCTTACCATTGGAATACCAATTTCATTGGTGTGAATGTACATGTCAGGGCAAATAACAGACCGAGCAGCATAATCCACCCGCTTTCCCATCATGTGCTTCCGGAACAAGCCATTCTTCTTCTCCAGAAACTGATCATAAATGGGTCACAAAATACAGACAGACATTAAAAAGATTCAAGTTATTTCACCATCTATGTGAAACACTCAGCATCAGATTTTGTAATGCATTAAATGCATGTCTGAAAATATCTGGGGATGACCACTGCTTCAGAATATGGCAGCTCAGCCCCCAACTGGAGTTGAAACTCAAACAGCATCATTGCACTACTTGGCTTCTTAATGATTTGTATGCATAATTCAAAGTACACAAGTCTTTAAAAACTTAACATGCCACAAGGTCTGGATACATGAAGGAACGCCCCATACCAACCTAACCATATATCATTAGGAAGCACCATGGAAGCTTTGCTCAGGTGCTTAAAGCAGTTGACAAGGTATGGGCAGTGACTATAGGGGATTTTGAAGGGGTAGAGGAACTAGAGACCAAATTGCTAACATGCGCTGGATTATAGAGAAAGCCAGAAAAACATCTACTTCTGCTTCATTGACTACGCAAAAGCCTTTGACTGTGTGGACCACAACAAACTATGGCAAGTTCTTAAAGAAATGGGATGCCTGACCACCTTATCTATCTCCTGATAAATCTATATGTGGGACAGGAAGCAACAGTTAGAACTGGATATGGAACTGATTGGTTCAAAATTGGGAAAGGAGTACGACAGGGCTGTAAATTGTCTCCCTGCTTATTCAACTTATATGCAGAATACATCATGCGAAAGACAGGACTGGATGAATCCCACGACTGAATTAAGATTGCTGGAAGAAATATCAACGACCTCAGATATGCAGATAATACCACTCTGGTGGCAAAATGTGAGGAGGAATTAAAGAACCTTGTAATGAGGGTGAAAGAGGAGAGTGCAAAAAATGGTCTGAAGCGCAACATTAAAAAGAACCCTAAGATCATGGCCACTGGTCCCATCACCTCCTGGCAAACAGAAGGGGAAGATATGGAGGCAGTGAGATTTTACTTTCTTGGGCTCCATGATCACTGCAGATGGAGACAGCAGCCATGAAATTAAAAGATGCCTGCTTCTTCAGAGGAAAGCGACGAAAAACCTCGACAGCATCTTAAAAAGCAGAGACATCACCTTGCCAACAAAGGTCCGCATAGTCAAAGCTATGGTTTTTCCAGTAGTGATGTATGGAAGTGAGAGCTGGACCATAAAGGAGGCTGACCGCCAAAGAATTGTTGCTTTTGAATTGTGGTGCTGGAGGAGACTCTTGAGAGTCCCCTGGACTGCAAGTATAACAAACCTATCCATTCTTAAGGAAATCAACCCTTAGTGCTCACTGGAAGGACAGATTCTGAAGCTGAGGCTTCAATACTTTGGCCATCTCATGAGAAGAGAAAACTCCCTGGAAAAGACCCTGATGTTGGGAAAGTTGAAGGCAAGAGGAGAAGGGGACAGACAGAGGACGAGTTGGTTGGACAGTGTCACTGAAGCAACCAACATGAATTTGACCAAACTCCGGGAGGCAGTGGAAGACAGGAGGGTCTGGTGTGCTCTGGTCCATGGGGTCACAAAGAGTGGGACACAACTTAACGACTAAACAACAACAAAAACAACAGTCAAACAAGATTCACTGATGCTTTGTTCATTCATTTTACAGTACTGTATTAATTTTACAGCATTTGTTTATATGTCATTGTGAAGTATCTGGGAACTGCCCTGCTGATGGGCCAGGTACACATATGCAAAACACTCAACATCTCTTTATCATACAAAAATATTTTAAATATGCATACTTTGCTCCTGGTACTTCATAAATTTAGAATACTCTAAACTGTGTTCTACTGTTTTTGCATCTCTTACCTGACGCACACCAGGATATTTGTCAGTTATTAACTTATCCATGTCACTGTCAAACACAATATTGACATGGGTCTGCAAACGAATCCAGATGTTGTAAAGCTTATCCGCAGTAGTCTGCCCTGGGATCATCACTAGTGCAGAACGGTCCAGGGGTTCCATGGATTGCTCTGTCACCTGCAGAACATCAGAACTTTTAGCAAATGAAAGATTTACCATCATGGCTTCGCTGCATATATTCAGGAACACCTAAAAGCTGTGGCTCAGTTTTAGACAATATGCTGAAGAGGAACAAAAAAGCGTGGCCAACAGCACGCAAGGTCTCATGATCCCAAGGTTGGAAGGCATGGTCTCTTTCACAGCTGCATACGTTTCTTCCCATTGGAGGTCTTGCAACTATCCTTTCCTCCCCTACGTGGCAGATACAAAAGGATGAATGGCTGCAGAGAGCATAGCATTCAGCATCCTTTTTGGCATGAAGTTCCTGCTGCTAAAAAGGAACAAGGCCAGGCTGCCACAATGAAGGCTGCTGCTTCTTCCAACTTTGTCCCTTGGTTTTTGAAGACAGAAAGAAAGCTGAGTAGAAGTTGAATCACCATCTGGCTCTCTCTGTACTCAGAAATTATGATAGAAGACCCAAGAAATCCATTCTGGAAGGCCAGAAACAGTGCTGCTTTCAAAGTTATACAATCACAGTGTGAAAGTACAGAAAAGGCCAGGCAATGCTGCTTCTGAGTTTTTTCTTCGTATTTTGAACAAGATGATGCATGCATACTGGTTTTACTCACAAATTGAGGCTTTGTTTGTCCTGCTACAGTGGTACCTCGACTTACGAATTTAATCAGTATTGGAATGGCATTCGTAAGTTGAAATGTTTGTAAGTTGAAGCACCATTTCCCATTGAAATGCATGGGAATGGGATTAATCCGTTCCAGCATTTCAAAAAAACAAAATAAAAATAAACGGAGCAAGTTGCACGCTCGGACTGCCAAAAAAAACAAAAAACAAAACAAAACCAAACACAAATCCAAAAATAAAACACAGAAACATAACCCCCCAGTCCAAACCCACCTTCCAAAACCCACCCAGAACAGTTTTTTAAAAAGGACTTACCAGTGCGAAGCCTCCAAAGCCTCCCAACGCTCTGCTGTGGCCAGGGGCAAGAGGCCAAGCGCCCGGCTAGCTCAAGCCTCCTGGCGCTGGGTGACCACTGCCTCCGATCGCGGCGGCGGGGGACCCCCAGGAGGTCTCCAATGGCGGCAGGGAAGCTCCCAGGGCTTCCCCACCGCCATCAGAGACCTCCTGGGGGTCCGATCGTAGCAGCGGGGGAGCAATTTTAAATTTCCTGCCCTTTTCCGCCGCCGTGATCGGACCCCCAGGAGGTCTCCGATGGTAGAGGGGAAGCCCTGGGAGCTTCCCCACCGCCATCGTGTGAAATGAGTGCAATTGTACGGTAGTTGGAGCATTCTTTGGCACTGCCCTTCTTTGGGATTGGAATGTAGACTGACCTTTTCCAATCCTCTGGCTACTGCTGAGTTTTCTAAACTTGCTGGCTTATTGAGTATAGCACCTTAACAGCATCATCTTTCACGATTTTAAATAGTTCAGCAGGAATGCCATCACCTCCACTGGGCTTGCTGTTAGCCATGCTTTCTAAGGCCCACTTGACTTTACTCTCCAGGATGTCTGGCTCTAGGTCAGCAACCACACTCACTGGGTTGTCCGGGACATCCAAATCTTTCTGGTATAATTCCTCTGTGTATTCTTGCCACCTCTTCTTGATGTTGTCTGCTTCTGTGAGGTCCCTCCCATTTTTGTCCGTTATCATGTCTAGCATTACTAACTGCAAAATTTGAGCAAAGAGAGATGAAAATACTGTTAGAATAATTACATTACACAATCTCACTATTTCCTTTTCTTCATGGAGATACCAAGACCTTCTGAGCCTCATGTAATTAAAACAAAATGGATAAGCACTAATGAGACATTAAAATGCTGTCATTGCCATATAAAGATATTGCACTTCTCTGGTTGCAGCAGAATAATCCACATATTTTAGTATGCAATCACAATTTGAAATCAAATAAATATATGATTCGTCAGGCGTTTTTATTTCTCCCGAAAGAATCTAGGAACAAAAGCAACACATTTTCATTTTTAAAAACAAGTGTTAATTCTATGACTTTATTCGCCCTTAATGATTTTTCTGCTGAATAGCCTGAAGATATGTTTTCAAATCATTTTGATTAAGGTTGCACAGTTTGTTGTATGTATCAAAACATTAATTCAGTCACTGGCATCTTATTGTTTATGTGTGTTGGTGTAAGTGGAGTGGTGGAAACTGCAGTGGAAAATTGCTGCTAGTTAAAGAGTGATCCATTGCATTCTTCATTGCACATGAAGTAATGTGGCTGGCACAGAATGAAGAGGACAATTTTGACCCCTTAACTGGCAGGAATTTGCTTGTATGTTTTAGACCAGTGGTTCCCAACCTTGGTTCCCCAGATTTTCTTGGACTACAACTCCCAGAAATTCTGGCCAGCACAGCTTGTTTAAGAAGGCTTTGGGGAGCTTTTGTCCAATAACATCTGGGAACCCAAGGTTGGGAAAAACTGATTTAGACCGCTGCATTTAACATAAGTCAGTATATGTAAGCGATAGCATTCTGGCCGTGGTAAAACATCCTGTTTTACATGAGTTTAATAGGGAAGTAATATCTAAAATCACACTCAAGCCAAAAGGTTGAAATAATAATTTTCTTAGTATTTCTGTGTGTGTGTTTGTGTCAATGAAGCCATTTCAAAGTTACACTCCACAAAATGCATCCCCCATCTACCTTCAAAGTGACTTCTCTTCTAGAGGTTTCTTCCTGATCTTCTCTTAACATTTTGGTCTCTTCCATGGGGTTTGCTGAAACATGTCTTGTTTTCTTACAGACTTTTTCAAGAAACACCACTTACTGTGGGGCACAAGATGATGAATATCGTGTGGAGGTCACAACACCTTTGCAGAGGATTGACTTGTTCTCAAAGCAGTTCAGCACAGTCTTGTTAACGTCTATCTCTGTCTTTACCAACAATTTGGATTTCAGCTGTGGGGCCATTATGTCTGGTGTACAGTGTCAGCCTTCCAGACTTGGCACAGGTTATTCTATCGGGACGTGGTGGTGCTGCGGGTTAAACCGCAGAAGCCTCTGTGCTACAAGGTCAGAAGACCAAGAAGTCATAAAATCAAATCCATGCGACAGAGTGAGCTCCCATTGCTTGTCCCAGCTCCTGGCAACCTAGCGGTTCGAAAGCATGTAAATGCAAGTAGATAAATAGGTACCACCACGGTCGTTCCGTGTCTAGTTGCACTGGCCACATTACAAACGCTGGATCTGCGGCTTGGAGACGGGGATGAGCACCACACCCTAGACTTCGACATGACTGGACTAAATGTCAAGGGGAACCTTTACCTTTACCTATTCTATTTATAAAGTGAGCAGTCTTTTAGTACCTTCTGCTCTCTGGAGACCAAATGCTGATGCCCAGTTGTTCACCTTTCCATGGTATTTGAGAACTGCACATATAGGTCCCCTTCATCATTAGAGTTGTCTTACTTCCAAAACAAGATGTGGTCAGAGGAAGAGACAGTTCAAACTATGTAACAGGGGAAACTCTATATACAAACTGCACAAAATCAGCCAGGTGGTATAAACAATAGTCCAGGGTGCTGCATCAGTAGTGCAAGGTTGCTGTTTCTTATTTGTGGAGAAGCAAGGAATTTTATTTATTTACCTTCATTTTTCCATAAACTTTTAACATGTTGTTTGGCAGTTGCAGGTGTCATGTAACCTCGTTTTCCCATGTGGTTTTCATCTATAACTAAGAAAATAAAATGTTTACACAAACCTTAAAATATCTCTTGCCATTTATAACATTCCATCCAACTCAAACAAAAACAAATCATTAAAGTGCATTTGTTCAATATCAGCAGGAATTAACTAAAGCTAATCCCAGCATATAGTTGCACACAAAGAAAACTGAGCACTAAATATATGACCTCGGATCTTTGGCAGCCAATCATACAGGACCATCACCACATAAACAAAAGATCACAGGTATGCCACATAATTATGCCACTGTCAAGGAAAAAAGAACTATCAAGGGATTTCTAAATTGATATGAAACACCAGGCTACACACAAGGGATCAAATGGCTAATTACTACAGGGCAATACATAACGTCTGAAAACAACAACATTAAATGGCTCCTCTAACACTCTTTCCATTTACACAGCTATGTAGAACTATGTCAATACAAGTCTTGTATAGGGATAGGGGTATTTGTATTTGTATATGAATATCCACACAGCGTGCAAAAGGTCAACAACCTCTACCCAGCCACAAGAACCGGGGAATCACTACACACAAAAGACCAGCTAATGACACCCATCAATCACAGTGACAGATAATCTCTCCTCCTTATCCCAACAATACACCCACAAGAACCCATCTCCTGAACAGGACAAAAGCCTATCTCAGAGCCATAAATACTCCACTCCCAAGCAAACTACACCAGAGCACAGAGTGCTGTCCTCTGAAGATGCCGGCCACAGAGACTGGTGAAACGTTAGGAAGAACAACCTTCAGAACACGGCCAAAGAGCCCGAAAAACCCACAAAAACTATTTTGAATTAGTCAATATAAATTAGTGTCGAATTTAAAAACTAATGGCTAAAATCTGTTTTGGCAAAAAAAGGATAAGGAAATCACACAGCAGTTTTTCTCTTCATATTGGCTCTTCTTTGTATGCTAAGGCACACACCAGTTGTGTGCCTGATTTCACAAATCATTGCAACATAAGGCACACAATAGAGCTCTTATCAGAGGGGAGGGAAAATTTACATGATTGCCTTAATGTAACTGTGCAAATAGGCTTCTGACCAGTGATATTGATGGGTCTGTTCTAAGCATGGCTAAATTTGGTTCCAATCTTTGAGACATACAGTAAGAAAAAAAATATTATAATAAGATTTCCAATGACAGGCAAGTCAACTGACGTTCATTTTGGAGACATCACAAGAATTAAAGGATGAATTTGAAGATTTCAACTAAAACTACATGGTCTATTAAAACATACATCAACATGAAGTCACGACCTTGTCAACATTTTAAGAACTCATGCATACCTGCTGATTCTTCCACTATTGTTTGTATGCCTGATTTCTGGAGTACTGCAGATGGGTTTGTCACAGTGAGTTTGCTATTGTGTTCCTTTCGGACAAGTGATCTTCCCGCTCTTGAAGAGAGAGAGATTAAACAGACAACAGTACAGACAGTCAATCAATCCAAAAAGCAGTTGTTAAAATTAAGGTATGGTGAATGGTAGAAATACTGCATCTATAAAGCTGGTACGTTATACGCACTTGCAATTTGGACATCTTTTTGAACCCATGTGTGACTTCCAAAATTGAGAGATAAGTTTGCTTCTAAAATCACAAACATTTTTCACCTAAAAAAGGAAAATAAAAACCAAGTTCTGTAAGTTGCAGATAAAAGGAAAAATATTAAATATAATTGCAAGTATTAACATTGAAAACAAACATTAATTATGCAATTTAATTTCATGTAGTCCTTAGTTTTACATCCATGATATTAATATCATAAAATTCAATCTAGTCTCAGATTAAATCTTGATTATTTAATGATAAGAACACATGTGACATGCAGTAGCGTGGTCACAAATTCAGAAGCACAGGGTCCCTCCACAAGACCTACACATACACATTCTCTTTCCTTTCCTAGTGCGCATATGCATACATTCACACACTTGAAATTACTACTTTGCTGTAACTATGGGGAGGGGCAGAAATCCATGGTGAGAAAAGGTAGAACCTGACATCTAAAGACCAGGCCCAGTATCTTCATATGCAGAGACAGTGGCAGCTGCCACGGCTCTCCTACTATGCCCTGCCTCCACTTCTACCATATCCACATTCTTCTCCTGGGTTTACCAACAGCATACCACAAAAAAACACACACAGACAAAGTTGGGTGAGGGAGAAGGCGAGAAGTGACTTGAAAGATGGCTCCTTTGCTGGGTTCCTGACACCTTTTGTGCATACACTGAAAAAGACGGAGGAGTGCAGAAAGCCGATCTTAAGCAGGAAAGCAGATGAATGAGAGAGTGAGCTAGATCTGTCACTGTGTGTTATGCCATTGCCCTTCTAGCAACATTTCAGTGCAACAGGATTGTGGGCACTGATTCTCTTATAATTGCTTATCTCTGTACCACAGTTATAGAACAACAAATTACTTCTTTCTTTATTGTGCAAGAACTTTTGGAAAAGCTGAACCTCTCATGTTCAGCACAATTTAAGTATGACATTCTGTTTTCACAGAACTAGTAGTATCATTATTACAGTAAATCTAGAATAACAGATACTACTTACCTTTCTTTCTTTTACTGCCCAGTTAGTGCAAAGCATTACTCTGGGCAGCTATTAGGCATCCTTCAGTCTCAAGAGATTATGGTAATGTGCTCTGTACGGAGGACTTGGAACAGTGTCTAGTGTGGCTGAGAAGGCCAATTTGAGAGTGACAATCCCTTCCACACGGATGACAAATACAATCTGTCCCCTGTCCAGCTCCCTGATTTTACTGCTTTCGGGACTGCCTCTTTGCCTCAGCCTGCTGGACAAGGGTATCTTCAAATTGGGAGAGGCCATGATGCAACGCCTGCCTCCAGGCTGAACGCAGCAGTGGTCTCCCTCTGGAGCGATTTCCCCGCACTAATTCTCCATACAGGAGATCTTTCGGAATCCGACCATTAGCCATTATCATGACATGCCCAAGCCAACGTAGACATCACTGTTTCAGTAATGTATACATACTAAAAATTTCAGCTCGTTCTAGGACTACTCTATTTGGAACTTTGTCCTGCCAGGTGATACCAAAAATGCATTGGAGGCAATGCACATGGAGGTGTTCAGCTTCTCTCCTGCCGTGCACAAAGGGTCCAGGACTCACTGCAGTACAGGAGTGTACTCAGGACACAAGCTCTATAGACCTGGATCTTGGTATATGCCATCAGCTTCTTATTAAGCCATACTCTCTTTGTGAGTCTAGAAAATATGGTAGTTGCTTCGCCAATGCGTTTATCCAGCTCAACATCTAAGGAGAGGGTGTCAGAGATCATTGAGCCAAGGTACACAAAGTCATGAACAACCTCCAATTCTTGTGTGGAGATGGCAATAGAGGGAGGTGAGTCCTGGCCCATGACTTGTGTTTTCTTCAGGCTGATTGTTAATCCAAAGTCTTGGCAGGCCTTGCTAAAACAATTCATGAGTAGCTAACAAACTACTCATGGGCAGCTAACAAACAAAGAATACAGAAGAACTAGAAGTCTATCCTATACAAAGTAGTCTACAACACTTACATGTGCCCCTTGGTCTCTTAGCTGGTTATTTTGGAGCATTTCTTCCGTATGCAGCCGTAACACATCTTCGACAGCTTCACCAGCACTATTTGCATTTTCTTCTAAAAACTGAAACAATAATAAAATTAGAAATGCTCACAATGATCTCAGAACAAACCAGAAAGAGGAAAACTTACCCTACTTAACACAGCCTCAAGGTCATGGGCTGCTTGAAGCAACCCAACTTCCAGGAGCTTCAGCTGGTTAAGCAATAAATGCATCACAGGACGTGGACATGTTAGGTGGCAACAATTCAAACAGGAACCACGCATCAGAAGATATAATTTCTGAAGAAGAAGAAAAAGTTTTTTTAATAATGCTACACATCAAGTGTTCCCAAATGTTCAAATATTTTCACATGCTTTGTTTCAAATATTCAAAACAACTCTCCATGATAGTATAGTATTACTGACCTATGTACATTCTCATGTTCCCATATACAACAAACTCAATACTGAAGGAGCATTGCCATCCATGCTACAGTAAAAGACATAAAATTAAAAAAAAAATCCTCAGTGCCACTGCATACTTACATCGAAAAAGAGAGGGTTATAGACAGTGAGGGGCAGTTCTATGTGACCCAGGTGACCTGGACAGTTGTTGAAGTCTTGCACACAAGTTGCACATATTTCTTTGTTGTCAAGTGGTCCCAAAGATAAATCATAAAGTCCATTTGGTGATGGAGCACCCGCGTTATCCAGGAAAACAGGGTTGGTTATAGCTTTCACGCTCAGCTTCCTAAATATATGTACATGCATATACAGACATGTATGTCATATCCACTGTCACAAAGAGAAGATCGTTCTCAGATACATTATTAAGCTTTATAAGATTAACAACTACATTGGATAACAAAGACAGGAGGAGGAGTTGTGAAGGGACTGTGATTATTCAATTTGCAAATGATTTACAGTTCGCCTGTTCTCCTTCTTGCCTATTCTTCCTATCTAATCTTTTGCTCATGTCACAAACTCCTTTACCTGCAATAAGAGGTCGCAAAGAATACACTAAAGGCTACACACCCACAATCTCCTTTAATAGTGTAAGGAAAAGAAGGCAATACTTTTGATAGTTTTCACCATTTAAACATGTCCAATAATAAGAGTGTAGTAAATGTTTCCCTGGAAAAGACCGTGATGTTGGGAAAATGTGAGGGCAAGAGGAGAAGGGGACGACAGAGGACAAGATGGTTGGACAGTGTCATCGAAGCTACCAACAGGAATTCGACCAAATTCCGGGAGGCAGTGGAAGGTAGGAGGGCCTAGCGTGCTCTAGCCCATTGGGGTCACGAAGAGTCAGACACGACTTAACGACTAAACAACAAAAGCAAATGTAACTCAAAATGATAATTCAACTGATTGTATAACAATTTTTGCATATTTTGGTTGCTACTACAATTAGGTCTAAAACCTAGGAATGTAGTGCCAGAGACAGAATCATAGTGGTCCAAGCTAAAAACACAACTCAGAGCTGATTTTTTAATATAAATTTGTGAAAGAATAAATATGAACTGGTTCTACAATACAAAGTTATAGGCAAAAAAGTATAATTGGGAACAGAAGGTTACTAACAAGAGCAATTCGATCTGTATCTACTCAGAAGTTCTAACAAGTTCAACATGGCCCATCCTACAGTATGTAACTAAACTGTTGCACTGATTTTTGGTAATGGATTAAACACATGCACATTGTTTTATGGTAAGACCTAGGACAGACATTTTAGAGAAGATAATTTGATTGTATGATGTAACTGGTGCTAACAAGAGCAATTCTATCTGTATCTACTCAGAAGCCCATCCTATAGTAACTGAACTGTTGCACTGATTTTTGGTAATGGATTAAACACATGCACATTGTTTTATGGTAAGACCTAGGACAGACATTTTAGAGAAGATAATTTGATTGTATGATGTAACTGGTACTTAACATTAGACTTTCTTTTATTACTCATTCTGAGATGTTACTTTTTCAGCCTTATATTACTTATTTGTTTTACTATAACTTATAAAAAACAACAACAGCATCCTTTAAACTAATACAAGAATTTCTCATGTTAAGTTACAGATGTCAACACTGTTGTAAAGAAACATACAGTTACAGATCAGCATATAGTCAGTATTGAAAAGAACTACTGAAACGGAAACATCTCAATCTCTCTCTCTCTAGTAGCAAAAGGCACCCGAATAACTTTCACCCAACTTGAGGCCCAGAGATAGGTACCCTTAAGCCCAGACTCTGATATCAGTAGCATAACAGAGCCTTGAAGGTACTGCAAGCCTGTTCTCTCCTTGCATTCCCAAAAAGGAAAGCCAGGCAATGCATGTGCCTCCACCTCTTCTGTGGTACAGCAGAAGTACAGCGACTTTTTCTACTGTGATAGAACCAACAAAGATTCCTGTACTAAGTAATAGACTCAAAGATGCGAATCTTACACCGCAAGAAGAGCATCAGTGTGTTTTCAGTATTGATTTTAATGACCATTTTTAATATAAAACTTGTTCATTTCTTAATAAATAAATGATCGCGCGGCAGCCTAATCAGAACTAAATTGCATCGAGTTCAATAAGACTTTATTGCTACTCTATGGGGAGGGGGGGGGAAAAACCCAATCAAAGCAGACAACACGCCGGAGTGCTGGCAGGTAGGTAGGTCAGTGCAGCCTCAGCCTCCCCCCGAGAGGCTCTCCCGGTTTACCGGATCTCCTCCGCCGTGTACATCCCGAAGGACAAGCCCGTCAGCCGCCGCCACGGCACCTCCTTCGCCGCCATGGCCAACCCAGAGCCGCCCCGCCACGTTCGGGAGGCAGACACGCGACCGAGCCGAACAGACGAGCAACCGGGGTCCACACGTGTGCAAGGGGAACGCCTCCCCCAGTTACCAGATTCCGCTTCCGGCTTCTTGCCTCCTCCTCCTCCTCCACCCCAAGCGCAAGGCAGGCGGCGGGCTCGACAGACATGGCGGCGGCGCGGTGGCTGCGGCTAAGCGCCCGAGGTCGCCGAGCGCTGCTGGAGGAAGCGCTGCTCCCGTCGGTGGCCGCGGAAGGGAGCGTTAGGTAACAGCCGGGAAAGAAATGGAGATTCTCCAGGCCCTCCAGCTTGCGAGACGGGCAGGGGGGCTTGTGCAGGAGGGCGGTGGGGGGGGGCGTTGGACTCCAACTCCCAGAATTCCTGAGGCGCCGCTGCTGCCTCGGGGATTCTGGGAGATGCAGTCCAAACCCCCCAGCCCATCCGCACCCGGCAAATTCTATCGGCCCCCTCGTGGTTTCCATGTTGCTTCGAAGAAGGAGGCCTCCCTTGAACCCTGTTAAGAGCTTGCAAGGTCGCCGGGCGTGTGCGTTGCGGAGGCCCAAAGTCTAAGGCGACTTTCTAGCGGGTTGGGTTGGAAAAGGATAGGGGGAACTTAAACCGGCTTTGCTTGGAGCCCGAAGGAGTTCAAGGGTGCAGCTGCGCTACTTAAAGGCTGAAATGCTGTTGCTTGGCTTAGTAAGACGCATTTAGAGTAGGCCCGTGGGATTGATAGCACCTAGAGAGGAGTTGACTCACGAAATTCTTGTTGAGATCCAGTGAGTCTACGCGAGCTGCGACTTACTATCCTTAAGCAACGTAATTTCAGCCCAGACCAACAAAACCCTTCTGGCATGCAATTTTTATTTGCAACAAGGTTTCGTAGACCTCCCACAGCTTTCTCTTATTAATGTTTCTGCAAAGGCTTATGCAACAAAAAGGTGGCAGATCTTAAGATGTTAAAAGGACCTGAAGTATATTTTCTCCAGAGTTTCCTTTGTCTCCTGTTTTACACATAGTCCTTTTCTGCACATAGTACTGTAAAGGTGTTAGAAGATGATTTGGGTTTATGTGTTTCCTCCTTAGCAATTATTTAAACTTCAGTAACCTGCATATACTGTACTTATTCTGCTCTTAGCTGAAGTGTGACTGTGTATAATGCTAGAAATAGTGAAATAGAGACAAAGCAACACATTTGATAATCTTGGCAATTATTGATGTTTTTTAAATGCTCATTTTTAAAAAAGCTCAAAACCTCTTTCTGAAAAACATTCTTAGAGAAACAAGACCATTTCACCATCAGAAGCAGCAGAGATTCTAAATGCTGTAAAAACACAGATTGAATTGGCTTTCTGGTGGAGAAAGAATATCCTTTTCCAACTAGTAACACCTGTACTGTACTTTATTCAAATACAGAAAATACAGTCCTTCCTCTTGGCCAAGTGATTATAATAGTCATATTGCCCAACCTATCAATGTACAGTACTTAATCAAGTTTCCTTTGCTGAATTCCTCTTCCTAACTAAGAATTGAAGATTCATAACCTTCACAGCAGTCCAGCTAACCAAATTTACATGATGATATGCAAATACAGACCATGCTTATTCAGAAGCAACACACAACAGAAGATATTAATTTCCAGAAAGCTATCTGTGTTCTGTACTGTACTACAGCCAAAACAGGAACCCTGTGGCATCTTAAAGAAGGCTAAGATTTTTCATTGTTTTTTGAAAATAAGAGACCCAGTTGGTTGTACAGTGTTTGAACATTGAGAAAGTTCTGTTAAAAATGTGCCACCCTCTCATCCTATTAATTAAAAGACAGAGAACTTCTACATTGTTGAAACTTAATGTGACACTTGGTCAAACTCTTTGCTGTTTTAACTGCCTGATCATAGCAGCTGAACACAAGACACCTTGCATGTTAGTGTACATGCACCCAATCTGCTGGGTGTATATGCCACGCTACAATTGACTTTTGTAATGCAAACCCAATTAGTAGCCATTAGGTCTATGGGGTCATGAAGAGTTGGACACGACTAAATAACAAAACAGTGAATGCTACTTTGGAAGGTGTGGCAGCATACATTGTGCTGTGATTTAATTTTTAACTGGGTGTGGGGACTTCTGCTGAAATGTATAAGTGGCCAGTATAAGTGGTTCATGCTGACAAGTGTGTTGCTCATTTACTTGTGAATGACATAATTCAGCAGGATCATAGTGTAACCAAGGCATATATTGCTGCCTTCTTATACTATGTTTTTTCCACTTTTCCCCCCAAACATGAAGGGAGTGGTGAAGAAGTGGATACAAAATAAAGAGTCCTGGAGTGCCTAATTGTCACAGTGAAGAAATTGATTTTACATTCAGAAAAGTATTGTCATGGAAGGAATTGTACTGCTACTCCTGAAAGAGGGAATTCTGAAGTTTCATTTGCTATTTAATTTTTTAAGGAACAAAATACAAGTTTTGCATCAAGCTTTGAGTCAGTGGGCAAAACATTTCAGTCAATCCTTGTATTACGTAGGTGCTGGAATATTGCTGTAACTTCCAGATGTAGTGGGAGATGTGCTATGGGGGACTCTGCTCTTTTCATTGTTTGCCCTATTGATGTAACTACTAGTCTAATCTAGAATAAGTTCTAATAAGCAAGTGTTCTCCAGAATACTTTAGAACTATTTTTGCATGATATGTGTTTGCTCCAACAACCAATATGATTGATTTCCATAGGCATTGGTCAGAAAATGCAGCTCTTCAGAAAAAATCTTCCA